TTGGTGCAGAAGTATAACTCTAGATACTGTATGTAAGTAATTCAAATAATTTGGAGTTTACTCTGCAGATTGTTACTTCAAATTATTTTACCACTCGGCATGTTATTTCAGAGGAATATGTAGTAATAAAGCCCCTGTTGCAGTCTGTGGTAGTTTTGATACAAATGAAATAGGAATGTACTTGCTTCTTTCTAAAAGTCCTACAGCAATAATGGGTCAAGTAGTGACTCAAAACCTTTATCGCTGTATGTGTAAGGAGAACAGGAAATTTCTGTTTAGGTTGGTAAGGAGCCAGCTGCTCTACATGAAGCAGATGGAGATTTTTAACTGTAGACGTTTGATGTGGATTTTCTTGGACATTGCAGCTGACTTTTGCTGCCCGCTTTGATAGGGAATTCTTGAAACTATTTGTGTGAAGGTTGGTGGTTTTTTTTTTTTTTTTTTTTTTTTTGGTCCATTTCTTCTTTTTGTTTTCTTTCCCTGTGTCCTGCTCCTAGGATTTGGAGGGTTCTGTGGTTGAATCCAAGTATTTTGCTTGCTGATTATGTAGAAAAGAAGGAAAAAAAAGTCTCACTCTTCCAGTTGTGACAGCACAAGGAAGCTTTCTCTTACTGTATAGCAGTTTTTAAAGGAGATCATTGGACTTCATGGCGTATCCTGTGCTGGTTTTGACTGTGATGTCTTGCTGACTTGGCTGTTAACAGAAGTCAGTAAAATTTTGATTTGCTCTATTGCATTCAAAGCTCTCAGGATAAAACTGAGCAGCAGCTTTATCAGCCGCTATCACAGTAGGAGAAAGTAGAAGTGCAAGGTTCTGTTTTGTCACTTTGCTGAGTAGGATTAAAGCTGATCGCTTTGTGCTGAAAGGAGAACAGTTTTCAGCATGTTCTTTCCACTGCGAATAAGACATGGTGCCACTGAGCTGAAACTCTCCACCTATATTCTGTGGCCCCTATATTCTGTGGCCCCTATATTTCACAGTCTGTACAAGGCTCTGAATGACCACAGGTGACCTATGCAGGCTCGTGCAGTAGTTGAAACCATTGCAAATGCTGTTAACGAGGGGACTGACCCAAATCTTGCTGGTGCTGCAAGAGTGCCCGACAGCCCTGGCCCACTCTGAACCCTGGGGCTCTTCATCAGTTTGTCTTGTGAGATCTTCCTCTCACAGCACAGACATGCTCACTGTGAGATTCCTCTACATTGGCGTTCTCCACGTCTGGAAGACCTCGTAGAGAAGTGCTGAAACACACCCAGGAGATACTGTGGCTGCCTTGCCTCAGTGCATTTTTCTATAATTCTTTTGCATTTTGCATGCGTTGACTCTTGTAAATACTGTTATGGAGAAAGCAGTAATGCAAGAAAACACTTGAATTCTTTATGGCCCTGAGCTCCAATTAAAAAAAGCTCTACCAATAATAATAATAATAATAATAATAAAGGTAGTAGTACCAGCCATTGATGTATCTTGTTCTTCCATCTCTGGATGTTTTAAAAAGTGGTATGGGGCTTCAGTGGGGTGCACCAAAGGCCTTTGACTGCCATGCCCCTTAGCTGGGTGGGACTGAGCAGCCAAGGCAGAGGTGAGTGTGAAGGAAACTATAAAGAAGAAAGTTTTAAGAAATTGAATGAGGGTTGGCAGAAAAGAAAGCAGTTTCTTAAGCTTTCTGTGAATAAATTTTCCTGATACTTTGTAATGGTGTGAAGCAAGATAGTGGCAGACATCTCTGTTGCAAGGCTGTAACACTTTGCGCGTGAATTTATCATACTGTGTGAATGTATGACAGCGCAAAGATAAGAGTATGGCCCCACTGGRAGTTGGTCTGAAAATGCCATTTCAGATACTGCTTTTGAAAATAGGGAGTTCTCTTTCCAAAAGTGTTACAGATTGGTTAGGTGCTGGTGGTCTGGTGTTAGGTTCTTCACTGTATGGGAATGTGATGGCCGTCAAGAAATTATTTGTTACTGAAATGACTGTATCTAGTAAATACTTGTGTGGGGTTTTTTTTTCTTTTCTTTTTTTTCCCTCCTCCCCTGGAGGAAAGCTTATTGGCTACAACTAGAACCTTCGGCTTCTGGGTTTGAAGACGTGGTGGGTTATACCTGTCCCTGCACTCTTTGTTTAAATAAGCTGTAGGTAACTAACAGGGAAGCACTTTTAAAAGTCCCTCCACATGATTGAGAATGAACAAAACCCGACAAGTGTGCACTTGATGGTTTGCAAACTGCTGTAACTAGAGACCTGTTGGTTGTGAGACGTAGCCTGGAAGTGCCAAGGAACTCTTTTTTTTTTTTTCATATGGAAGTCCTGACCAGTTTTCCTTTGATCTATTTTGCTTTGATGGTTGTGAAAAAGGAGAAAAATAACAAAAATGGAGCAGTTTCTTTGGTTATGTGTGGTTTGAACGTGGAACTTCTAGAGAGGGTCCAGCGTAGAGCAACAAAGATGATTGAGGGACATCTATCCCTTAATCCTTATCTGCAACATCTATCTCATAATGAAAGACTAAGTGAGCTGGGCCTGTTTAGCCTGCAGAAGGGAAGACGGAGAGGGGAATCTTATCAAGATGTAGAAATACCTGAGGGGAGAAAGTAAAGAGGATAGGGCTAAACTCTTCTCAGTGTTGGCCAGTGACAGAACAATGGGCTATGGGTGCAAACTGAAACACAGGAAGCTTCATCTCCAGGTGAGGAAGAACTTTTTTTACTGTGATGGTGACAGAGCAGTGGCACAGGCTGCCCAGGGAGGTTGTGGAGGCTCCTTCTCTGGAGATCTCCAAAACCCGCCTAGATGCCACCCTGTGCCACGTGCTCTACGTTGAACCTACTCGAACCCTTCTTGAACAGGAGGCTTAGACTAGATGATGGCCTAAGAGAGCCTTCCAACCTCAGCCATTCTGTGATTCTGCATAGCCTCCTTTGTGCCAAAGTTGTTGTAATAGAGGGAATAATGCTAAACTGTGATACCAGCAGGTTAAGATCATTTTGAGAAAGGGCTGAAAATATCCTGTAGCTGCTGGAGGAAGGAACAAGAAACAAGTGTGGCAGAATAGGAGGAAATGAGGACCAGTTTGTCCCTTGCTGTCTTGGKGAGAGTTGTAGCAAGGACTCTGCTATCTGCCTCAACTGCCGAGTGACTGGAAGTGTAATTTTTTTCTCTCTCCACTTTCTTTGGAAGTCAGCTGTGTGGCACAGGTATAACCTCCCTGGCCATGGGTGGAGAGGGGGAGTGGCTCCTTTCTCTAGCTGTATTGTTTCCTTTGCTTCCTCCTTTGTTGGTCTTTACCCTTTGGAGCAGCTCCCGGGTGTGGGCTCCTTTCTCAGGCAGGTTTGTGAAACTGCAAAGTGTTTGATCTTTGCTGCTGCTTGGAATGCAGTTTTCCTGTTGGAAGTAGTTCAAGGAAAAGATGCAAGAAAGACTCTTGTGCCACATTGTAAGCAAAGGAGAGGGGCTTCTAAATGAAGTGACATGTTGAGATAAAGGGATTAAATTACTTCCTAAACACTCTTATATATCCACAGATTTAACTTTTGAACACCTCAAGAGGTTTATGTGTTCTGCATATAGCAAATAATTTCTGAGTCAACTTCTCAGTATGATAATGATTATTCAGAATAAATGAAGTTGAAGGACCTTTCTCCTTTTATTAAAAATGGAGATGCCCAGCTATATGAAGTATTTTACCTTTGTTTCCTGAAATAGTTACAGCTATTTAACAACTGGCTCTTCTTCTGTGTTTGTGCACCAGTCTTAATAGTATTTCATTTCTGTGTGCTCTAAAAAGAAAGTTCTCAGTGTATATAGTGACATGTGTGTATGCTGGTGGTTTTAAGGCAGTGTTTTCTGCCTTCAGACTTTGATCCTTATGCTTCCTGATGTGCTGGAATTAGTGCAGATGAAGGGCTCATCTTGAGTGAGAAGGCAACTTTGCAGTGACCAGCAAACCTCTTACATTATCCAGGCGCCCTCAGATAGAGTGTAAATAATGATTTTGGATCAGTTAATTTTTCTTTATTCAAACAGTACCTGTATACTGATGGACAAACAGATGTAAGGATTATGTTTGTTAAAAATTAAACAGACTTGACAAAAAGGCTTTGTCCCCTAGCTAGGGACATAAGTTTGGTTTGTTGATGGCAGCTGCAGAAAACTGAAGGTGAATGTTCCTCCAAAATTTTTGATTGCAATCACCAGACTTCTTCTGTGGGTTTTTTTTTTTTTCTTCAATGTGGGAATGGTGGAAATATATCAAAATATAGACCTCCTATCTGACCTGTTGTGTCTTGGCTGCTGGAGGTATACTGCAGTTGAATTTTAGTTCTCTCTAGGGTGTAATTCTCTGGGAATTTTGACTGTAAAAAGTTACTCCTTCTTCGGACGATTAAGAGAGAGTTCCAATTTAGGATGTAATTTCGCTGTGATTACTGGAATGAAGGAAGCTTGACTTCCTCCTTTGAATCCTGTTTGGTTGATTTATAATGCAGTTTAAAACAATTTAAACTCATGGCTATCAATGGTTGCCCCATCCGTAAGCTCTCTCTCATGGGCAAATGTCTGATTTGTTTGATAAGATCTTGTCTAACAAAGCGCTCAGCTTATTTACTTCCTTCCAGTAGCTCAGGAGGTACTTGCATAAGGTTTTCACAAAATTTGCAAATAAAAAAAACATTGTTGAGATTCCTGCCTTTCCCCCCCCCAATTTTGTTGTTTCTTTTCCTTTTTTTAATCTGATTTGCATGACCAGCCCTCCTCCTGTGGTACTTCTATGATAGTTGATCACACAGCTTCTTACGAATCTAAAACACTTTTCATAGAAAGGCAGGCTGAAAATCTTGTCATCTTGCCACCTAAAAACCCAGAAACATCAGACTGCTTTTAAATGTAACTGCTGCTTATCATTGAATGCTCCTGCCTCGCTAGTTAATATAAATAAGATATACTCTTCATTTTACTCTCCTGGGTATCTCATCTAACTGAGTAACTTTACCTTTCAGTATCAAGATAAAGAAGAAGTTGTTCTATGGATGAATACAGTAGGACCGTACCACAATCGCCAAGAGACCTACAAATACTTCTCGCTTCCTTTTTGTGTGGGATCAAAAAAGAGTATCAGCCATTACCACGAAACCCTGGGAGAAGCGCTCCAAGGAGTTGAGTTGGAATTTAGTGGTCTTGACATTAAATTTAAAGGTAAGCAATTGAAAGTGCATTTGGGCACTCTTTTAATTAAAAGAACTGCAAGTTACTGCTGCCAGCTGCTGAGTATTTTTCTTGCTTGAAACTCTGTACAGTTATCTAATACAGATGGCTCTGAAATATGCTAAGCTCTCATGTATATCCCTTAAGGAAGATGTTTTTTGTTGATAAATACTTCTGAAAACTGATTATCATTATCTTTTTTTTGTAAAATAAAACTGAGCTTTCAGAATACTGCATRAGTAAAGCATATTTGCAAGCTGCTTTGACCTATAACATGTTATATTTGTAGCATGTGTGAAGTGATTGCTCAAAACAGTAAATAATGTTACACTAAGACRTTTATCTCTGTCTACATCTATTCTCAAGAAGTCTTGCCATAAAATGATGGGATGATATTATTAATATGAAAACTTGTTTCATATAATATATTACATGATTGTTTTGATAATATTTTTGAAGTTCTTGATAATATTTTTTGAGTACTTTGGAAGATGCTGATTTCCTTTTTTTAGCTGGTTTCCAGCAGCTTCTGCATTAGATATTTTTCTTAAAATTTGGTGTTTTCCATTTGACAGATTCTTAATTAGTTTCTAAATTTGTCTATGCTTTATCCCTTGTTGTAAAGAAAGTTCTGTAACTTACAGAAGTTCATACAGAAGTTCAAATTGTTAGCCTGACTCTACTTATCCCTCTAAAAATACTATAATCATGGACAAGCACACATGTAGCTCAGGAATTTTATATAAATTTGTAAATATATACATATAGCCTCTGCAATTAAAAATGTATCTTTAATCAGTGGTGCTTGTCTGTGTTTCTGAAATGGCCATAACCTGTAAAATTATGACTTTGTGGAAATTCACGTTGCCAATAATGGAGGTCTGTGCCTGACACTTGCTGTGGTGTCTGGTGGGACAAATCTACAATATAGTAATGAACCCATGAAATATAGTGTTTCTGGCTGAGTTTTAAAAGCAAGTTTCTCTAAAGGATGCCAGTGACCGTATAGGATAGCTGCATTTCCTRTTTGTTAAAACAACACTGTCCAGGCTCATTGCAGGTCTCAAACCAGAAAAATACCTTTAAAAGAAGGTAGGGAATTATTACTATACTTTTGATAACTTTAGGTTTTCATTTAGTTTAATTCTATTTAGAATAGAATATTTAATTTAATTCTGTTCTATTCCAAATCTAGAATAATGATGCTTTTCATGTAATATGTCACATTCTTTATTCAAACATTTGGATTGACATCCTAGGCGAGCGGTGTACCTAAGTCCCAGAGGAAAATTAAATACATTGAACATTTATGTCGTAGAAACTTGACTGAGAAGATGAATTTTGGGCATTTACCCTTCATACGGTACCAGTTAGAGGACATGAGTTTGAAAGGGGAAAGGAAACTCCTTGTCTAGGACTTTTCTGCAGTATTTCTAGCAACGAGAGCTGTTCAGACTGATGCTGCATGTCATACTAAGAGATGGGCAGATAACATAACAAGGGATGTGGTTTGTATATCTGAGAAAAATCAAGGTAAACCAATCATTTCAGGGAAGCTTGAAATCTGGCTTAACTGTGCCTCCTTTTATAGTGAGTCTCAGGTTTGTGCTATTTTAAAACATTCTGAATGTGCTACTAGTGTCCTTGAGGCTGCAGKAGCAGATGTTGCCTGTTGATCCAGGTTATGGTTGTATCCAAAACATGCCAAACCTTAGATGTGGAAATGCCACAGTAACGAAGCACAGCCATAGGCTTCCCCAGCCACTGCCTGCTGTTCTGAGCCATTTCCCCTTAATCACTTAACCCAGTGGACTTGAGCATAACCACCTAATGAGAATCTCTGCCATGCAGCAAACCCACAGCTTCACTGCTAATGGCTGGAGAAAGAACTCTCTGTTCCCTTTGCCTGGGCTCCTGGCTGAGGTGTTCATTGTGTAGAATGTCTGAGGGTGAAGTGACGTAAGTTCAGTAAAATAGTGCTCTCGGTTTGCAAGATTTGTATGAGTTTACTGGCTTTTTGGGTGTATGCACTTGAGTAACTTCTCCTCAGCTGATTGTGGTATCACTGGCAGATCTCATGATGTTCTAAATATCAAAAGTAAAATCCATCAAAATGGGTGAAGGCAGCGTGTGGTGGCGTGCAGCAGTCTGCAGCCTGAGTCAGACGTGATGACAGCCGGTCCCCTTCCAATAGTGTTTCCAAGTCTCTTCTTCACAGCAGCACGAGCCAGTGCTCACACCTGCAGTATTAGATGCAGCTGGCTTGTTTCAGTTAGCAAAAAGACTCCAGGCAGCTGGAAACCAAGGAGGTACTTGAAATACAGTTATAATCTAAAGCCAAATTTATTTTAGATAATAAATACAAAGACTGCTGTATTCTGAGTAAAAGGGTCTCTAAACAAGACCATTTGTGTGATTAGAGTGTTTTTTTTTTTTCTTTTAGTAGTGACACTTGCTGCTGTCCCTATGTTGTCCCTCACCTACCTGTGCTCGAACTGCGCTTTGTATAGCTGTGAGGGGGWCAAGTCAGGGAGAGATCCAGTTAAAAATAACCATGACTGCCCCTCTTGTTGCCTGCAGACCAGACTTGTCTGCTGGGCCAAAATGTAATGCTTCATTTAACAATTTCTACAGGGTTATTTTCTTAAGTACTTTTATTGCTGTTTAATTCTGATTGATTACTGTTAATTAATAAATGCCAAGAAAATTCAAATCTCTTTAAGGTGAGAAAGCAGAGGCATTTTTGTGAGCATACCCCAAAACACATCGCATACAGATCAGCACAGGCATGAACGGGTGCAGCTGGGGCCTGGGTGTCCATGGTCGTGCCAGCTTTAACGCCTTGCGCCTCTTGATCRGGCCAATGTGGATCTTATAAATGTAGACCGTGGTGTTGCAAAAGAGAGCAGGGGGGAAAAAAAGAGAATAAATTGATGCTTTTCCTAGGAAATGAACAATGTCCGCATTCCAGGGCTGCAGGAGGTYGGCTCGGCTCTGCTGGGCGGCTTTTGCGGAGTTTCCTACTGTCTTGCTTTGTTGGACTCTGTTTTAGTTTTGCATGCCCAGTGATTGTGTATGTTTTTTTCATGTTGAGAAATAGATGTTATCAGAGAGAGAATGTTGGAAGTATTCTACTTGTATTTTTTCTGTGCAGCCTGTTTCCTTTTCTTTTTCAGCTGTAGTAATGTGTAGAAGAGTTTAAGTAAGCTAAATTTGGGTACAAACTGGAGCTATCCATGGAGTGCAAATTAATGCTGTCTGTTAGAAATGAGTTGCAATTCTGTGATGACAAATAGGAATAGGGAAGGCGAAGGTGGATTTTTTGTTTGCTTTATTTATTTGCAGACTGAAAGCATTCACTCTTAAGTRTTTTCTTCTCTAAAGCTTTTGCTGTTTTTTTTTTTCATTTTTAATACGCACTCTTTTGTTTCACTTGAGAAGAAAACAGAAAGCAATGAAATGGGGGTCCATGTCTGCTTACTGTCTGTCTTAAGCGGGGGAGGGAAATAGCCACCTGACTTGCAGAGGTGAATTTATTTCATGTTCAGATGCAGCCTTTGTGCCACCTTTGTTCCTGCTTTTGTCATCTTTGTCCTGTATGTCCTTGTTGCGTTCTGCATGCTAGAGGGCAGGAACAAGAAGTTGCTGTAGTGGTTCCTTTTTAAAATGCCCCTTTCTTTTAGCTACTCTCACACACAGATCCAGGAAGGGTTAAAGCCTCCAGAAACGTGTAATCCCGCTTTAGTTTGTGTTAATTTAGAGGCAGCTCACTAATAGATCATTAACAGTGCTTTAATTTCTTGCAGAGGACGTGATGCAGACCACCTACTGTGAAATAGACTTGGACAAAGGAAGAAGGGACGCGTTCGTGTACGCTATCAAAAATCACTACTGGTACCAGATGTATATCGATGACTTGCCGATATGGGGTGAGTGATGCTGCACATTAACAGCTCGAGCCATCGAGAGCACAGAGTGCCTGAGCTTGTGGTGTCCTCGATTCATTTCACTGAATGACTCCACTTCCTTAGAAGAATCTTCCGAGTGTGTGTGTGGAACCTCTGTAAGCAAAATAGAAATAACATAAGGATTATTGTGTTGAGGGAACAGTTGGGTGACTCAACTGTAAAAACAGTTGGGTATTACTCAACCGTAAAAACAGTTAACAGCAGAAAAATTATTCTTCTGAATGGTCTAGTAAGTGACAATTAGGTATAGGAGGTCAGATAYGAGGTCCGTAAAAGTATTCATGAATAAAATCTTAGTAAGCCTCTTTCATTGTTTGAGCTTCATAATGGTAGTTTTTGAGGTTTATTAATATCACAAAACCTTCTAATTTACTTTTATGGTAACTTGGTGACTTTTAACGTTTCTGCCTGTTACGTGTATTCTGTCATTTTATACAGTAATTTTATTTTATTTACTCCTATGCAGTTTTAAAAATTACTTTGGAAGTTTGATCTTGCTGAATGTTAYTAATCTGGTCAAAGAAATGTTTGTGTTTTGAATCAAAAATGTCCTTATTACAGTAGTCGCTTAACCTTTCTCCGGCTGTTCTCTGGCTGTTTTGCTGGCATTTTACCCTATAATCCGTATCTATAATGGGTTGCACTTTGGAACCATTAATATTTGAAATTTTCCTTAGGAATTCCTCACTGTATTCACTAACGAGTGCTCAACTTTCAGTAACGTTCAGACATAAAATATCTTTTCTTGACTGTTAATAAGGCAGTGACTTCAAATTGATGTTGTGATTTTTGGAAGGGCTGCATTATTATGTGAGCTTAAGAAGGCAAGCAAACCTGTTCAGGTGCATCCATGTAAAAATGATTCCTTTTTTTTTCCCCCAGAATTGCTAGTTCAGTGAAGTGTCTTGGCTTGAATGCCTTTGAATTTAGCACATATCCTTAAAAACATGCAACATGGYTTGAATGCCATCTTTCTGGTAGTGCTTGATCGGGATGCCCTTTACRCAGCGTAGAGGTCTGGATCGCTGTCGTTGGGGTGATGCTGTGGGAGCAGATGGCAGAGCAGGTGCTAGGCTGCACGATGGGGACACGAGCTGGCAGCTTCCTCTCCTGCATGAAGAAGTGCATAAGGCAGTTCTGACAGATGAGTAAAAAACACGACAAAAACCACCTCCTTAAATTGAAAAGCACAGATAACAACACACAACTGTTGTTCTTTCCCATACCTTTGTGGTAACCTTTTCTGTATCCTTTGTGTTTGCGTACTCTGGTCCATCTCTGTGTGGTCTTAATATAAGAAAAGTTATTGGTTTTGGCCTGTAAACTGATTACTATACTTGGTTTCTTTCCCTAGCCCCACCATACTACGAGATCTGGAATTTTTCTGTAGCTCAAATGTTTTGAAGTGAGTTATTAAAAAGGAAGAACTTAATTGTGAGCTAATTCTGAGTTCAGTTAACTGAACTCTGATGCTCCAGGAGCATCTGAGCAGTTTCTTGTCATGGATGTAGCCAGCATCTCTACATACGTAATATTCTTCTGTTTTTTTTTAATGAAAGAAATGCAGAAAATACTCTATGATTCTTGCCAAGCATCATGAACACATGAGCAAATAAGAGTAAAAAGTGTGGTCTTGAGGAATAAACTAATGTGGAATACAGAAAGTAAGTGAAGAGATTTGAAGGGGGAGAAAAATGAGTGAAGGGATAGTAGCTGGAACAAGGAGATGGAAAAATATGGAGGTCAGGGCAAAGAGTTCATAGAATTTAAATCTCTACTTGCATAGCTCATTGTCTTATATGAAACTTACATAAGATGAGACAAAATAAGTTTACTTTTGCTTCCTCTGAAGCATTAGTGGCTGCATCCTTTTTTATTAWGAACACAATGTTTTAGAAAGCTCTGTTACTCTCTTTCACTGTAGTGAAAAGGATTTCTCTTTTGCCGTAGTTACACTGCTTTTTTGCTGCTGAAACTGTTGTAAAGAAGCATGTTTTTAAAAAATAATCACAGGATATTTGGAAAAAAAATGCCTGCAACTCAGGTTTACATTTTAATTTAATTTCTATACAGGTATTGTTGGAGAAGCAGATGAAAATGGGGAAGATTATTATCTTTGGACTTACAAAAAACTTGAAATTGGTTACAATGGAAATAGAATTGTGGATGTGAATCTGACCAGTGAAGGAAAGGTGAAATTGGTACCAAATACAAAAATCCAGATGTCATATTCGGTAAGTAATTTGGTGATGTGTATGGTGTAAATATTACCATGGCTCTACATGGCAAATTTACCAATTTACCATGGCTCTGCATGGTAAAATATCTCAAAAATAGCTGAAGTTGTACATATCTTCTATGTGTTACTATGTCAGGATATACTAGAGAAAGATGCTGCTTGCCCCTTCAAATATTTTTTTCATTACTGGCTTGGTAAGAGTTAAACATGAGAGTTTTTTTTTTTTTATGAACACTTCAAACAAACTGGAGCTTCTACAATCTAYAGAGAAGTGTTTGGTTAGGAAAGGAACCTACATGAAAATGTGTGGAGACTGGAGATATCGAGATTCCCCCCCAGTAACTAGGTGTTTTCTGCATCTTCAGAGCAGTGACGTTTGCCTCGTAGATAACGTAGCAGATGGTTTCACTTTCCCCACGCCCTCCTTAAATTAAACTAGAATAAAGAGTAAAACCACTGTAAGCCTTTGTACTTTGCAGTTTATTGCTTTTAGTATTTATTCAGGTTTTGAAATTCCAGTAGAAACTTGTCTTATTTGTATAGTTTTATTTGCAAGATTTTGTCTGAAATCTGCTTGTGTTGAATTGCTATGTTAAAATGTAATGATTAAGCATGCATGTTAATATGGGATRTTGGAGTTTTACTATATTATTAACTTCCTTATATTTTTATTACTGTCATCTGTATCAGATCACCTGTCATATGTTTGCCAGACTTGTATTCTCACCCTGGTTGTTAATCCATTGATTTCCTGCAGTCAGGAGYAGGCGTCAGCCTAAGATCTCATTTTCTTGTCAGTGTCGTCTGTCCTATGCYGAGTGTGTCATAAAGTTCCACGTGCAGGTGGCTGTTTTCATCTGAGCTCCCCAGAATTAGGTTTATACCAGTCTCCCTTTTTCTACTGCAAAAATGGTACTTGTTTCGGTTTTCTGTTTCAAATTCCACCAGCATTGTGGAGTCCATTTGCTGTGTGCATTYTGAGGTCGACAGCACTGAGTAGCTGTAAGAAGTTAAATATCTTTGGCATATGATGCTCAAGATTTTACTTTAGATCTTGTTGACACCACTGAKCAGTTGCTGGGCTGCAGGCACGAGATGTTTAATTGACAGACTGTCTGGTGAACTTGTTCTAAGCAGTGCTGCTTAGTGGCAGATGCTCTAAGATAGAAACATGTCTATTTAAATCTATACTGAAAGCTATTAATGTTTTGAGCCATTAAWCTTGAACAAGCTGGTAATTTGAACTGAGTAACATTAATATTACACCTAAAAGTGAGGGTAGTATTTGAATATTGGGATTTTAGTCTGTCTCAGGGCTATGGTGACGGATAGGGGTACTCGGTCAACACTTAGAAGCTTTCTTCTATGCTGTGTGAGAGAGCATCGTGCTGGAAAAGATAGTTTATGATCCTGCTTTTAAATAAGGTGTATGCCGAAGTGGGAATGCACTGGTTTCCTGAGTAAAAGTTCRGATACTTCCTAAGACTGGAATGCTTTTGAAAAATGTGGACTTCGGTATAGAATTTTATTTAATTCTTGAAACTACATTTAAAAATTCAAGTTAAATAGCTTGCAAAAGTTCTGAAGTTTGTACTACAGTATTACATAGTAGCATTTATCTGTGCAAGTCCAAAGCAGTTCTCTATGGAACTAGTGGGGTAACTGAGAGCAGAAATAGGCTCATTATACAGAAACAAACTTTTCCAGCAGATTTCAGAGCTACTTATCGCCAGTAGAAGTGTACAGGTTACAAAATACCGAAGTTTAACAGTTTTCAGGCTACAGCTTTTAGGTTGTAGCTTTTAAATTTTTAATATCTGTCTTTTAGGGTTCAGCCTGTGCCTTGTTACACAGKTCCCTTCCAGCCAACTGAGTTCATGCTCTTCTTTTTCCAATAGTGTCTATTTTAAATCTGTCCATTTTTTTTTTGCATCTCCCTCACTTTGCTGGGCTGCTTCTTTTCCTTTGGAGTGCTGTACTCAGACARTGTGAGTACAGATGTTACTGCATGGCAGCAGACCAGACCTCAGCTGCAGCAGTAGAAGTAGTTACACTTGGTCTGAGAAACACTGATAATATGTTAGCATGTGGAAATGGTGAGGAAAGAAGGGTACTCGCTGCCGACAAAATGCTTGGAAGAATTCCACTGCTGTCTAGCACATCTTTCTTAAACGTATCTAGAAATTTATTTTCCTGGCACATATTATGAAATCTTGGACAAATCAGCTTGGATTTGTCTAAGGGCTTCTGCAAAGCTTCTGCGAAAGTTTCTGCAAARCTGTACTATCTACATTAAGTTGTCTTTGTCATTAGGAGTTTTATATCTTTGTGCTTTTGGATTTGTTGAGGGGAGCTTGTTTGTTTTCTAAGTGCATTCTTAGAAAYGGTGATTCAAGAAGACTCATCACTGCCTAAGCATGTGCTGTGAAAAGCATCCTCCATGAGCTTTTAGACTGAAAGAACTGAAAGCAGGTCATTTGCTGGAGGTCTTATTTGGCACTTCCAGTAAGAGTGTCAGCTCCGTCAGTAATCATGGAACGAGTTTGTTGTATTTGATGCTGAATGTTTGCATCTTTGTTTAATGTCACAGAGACATAGACAAGAGAGGAGTGTAAGACTTTTCCCTCTGCTTATTCCTGAACATATAGACAGAAGATAGGACTTACGAAGCAAGGTGGCCAGCGTTCATTCCGTCTCATCTATAGATGCAGGTTTTAGGAGAATCAGTCCCTTAATTTTGATAGACTTTGTGTCACTTTTGATAAGAAGTAGATGATATGAAAAATGTTTTGGGTGACGGTGAGTGAATATAGCTCAGTTTGTGTAACGAGTGAATTTCAAGTGTAAATGTTCTTTTCTTTAGGTGAAATGGAAAAAGTCAGATGTGAAGTTTGAAGACCGCTTTGACAAGTACCTTGACCCATCATTCTTTCAGCACAGAGTATGTARTGCTCTAAAACAACTTGACAAAATGTCCCATTGAAATGGATGCTTTAGTTCACCTTTTTTTAGGCTGTCTCTGCTAATTTTCTTCTGAAAAGAAAGGGGTATTTCAGGGTTATTGGTGTCAAATTTATCTCTGGGCTTTCCACTTGTCTCTTCAATTCTTTAGTGGTGTTTTTTTTAACTTTAAAAAGTTGTAAACCTTCTAATTTGGGGCTAGTAAGCCTTTTTTTTTTTTTATTTATTTTTTATTTTTTTTAATTGAAAAAGGTTCCATCTTGCATTGTGCTGTTAGAGTTACTGAAATCCCCCATCACTTGATCATTTGAATATCAGACCAGAAGGTGGTGTGCAGTATCAGGTATTTGGGTGGGGAGGTCTTTAAACCTAATCTGTTAGCTGCCTTGGTGAACTTAGTTGAGGTGGGATGAAGACAATGAAAGGACATTTAAAAAGCAGTAGTTCTGATTAATCATCTCTCTTATGCCTCTCATTTTGGTCTGGTCTGGAAGTCTGTGAGGCTTTCATCTCATTCAACAAATGGCAAAGAAAAGTCCCTCTCTTTTCATGAAGTTTTTGAAATTCAGCTCTAGTTAGTCTGGGGCAGTGTGGAGCCTGCTGCTATTGCCCTGCTAGCACTGGGCAGTTCTGGAGCAATGAGGCAGACAGCTCCAACACTCTACATTTTAAGCAACGCTTCTGTTGCTCAAATAGGAYGACTCTCTTCTTTTTTTAGTGTGCTTCAGTAAATGTCTGTGTGCGTGCCTCAAGCCCGCAGCAAATGCAAGGTAATTGAAGTAGATACATTTGTATGCTCAGAAGCAATGGAGTTTCAGGAGCACTATTGCTTATTAGTAAACTCTCACTGGCAATGTGTGTACTTCTCACCTAAGTAACTGCAAARCAAAAAACCTAAGCCAGTTTTGATAACACTTGTGATGGTTTATACCTGTGGTTATAATTTCCTGAAGGATGGTATACTGGACTGTATTTCTTTCTCAAATTAGGACTAAGAAGTGTTACTTGAAATTCAGTGAAAACCAGAGGATGTGCTTAGCAGAGCAAACGTTTTGGTCTTATACAAAGCAGTGGCTCCCAAAAACTCCTTTGGTTTTTGACTGTGAGCATATCTTGCTAGCTGAAATATACTCTTTAGGAAGGCAGTCCTACATCCTGTTGTTTTTCCATTGCCCTTGGTTAAGGGAACRTATATAGACAGCTGGTTGAGTTCTGCTCGTGCTTGACTAACTTAGTCTTGAGCAAGTCTTGCTATGGACAGCATACATATGGTCTTTTCTAGTGGGTCTTTCTATAAATGTAATTTACAGAATTCATTTATTGTTATTTAGTGAAATAGCTTGTGCTGAGTAATAATATATCCGTAGTGGAAAGTCATTGGAAATAGCTACAATTCTGAAATGTTTTCTCTTTGTAGATTCACTGGTTTTCAATTTTCAATTCTTTCATGATGGTGATCTTTCTGGTTGGCCTAGTGTCTATGATATTAATGAGAACTTTGCGAAAAGATTATGCAAGATACAGTAAAGAGGAAGAAATGGATGATATGGTAAGTCCTCTATTCATATGTTGATTTTTGTAAGACTTGTTTTCCTGTGTTCATAGTGTTAGAATCTCTGAATTGCATTCTTCATTTGGACAGAAAACTCCCATATGATTGTATTGAAAATGGTMCTGGATTTCTTTCATGTATGAGACTCCAAGAGTGTAACTTGGACAGCCAGTGTTGAGCAGCTGACTGCTATAGGCTGAACTGGTACATAAAACCTGGGTTGTCTATTGCCTTTTAGGAACCCCTTGCTCCTAGATTGCAGCCAAGAACTTCCTGTGATGGCTGTTCTAATGGTTGATGCACTCCAATTAAATGAAATCCTTTCTGCTCRGTGTTCAGTAGAAGTCTGGGCAAAACACAATTTCCTGAGGACTTTAGGGATAGCAAGAGATTCTACCAGATTTTGCTACATCATGCATTCRAGTAGCATTTTTTTTACTGTCTTAGTAAGCATCTGAAAGGCATATTTTTCTCCTAGATGGCTCYATTTGAAGACATGCTTACCCTTGAAGTTGCTTTACTAAATCATATCTTTAATTTATGCCTAGCATGTATATTTCTGTCATGAACTGTTGTGACTAGACCTAAAACTTTTTTGTTGTTGTTCCTAGGACAGAGATCTAGGTGATGAGTACGGGTGGAAGCAGGTCCATGGAGATGTTTTTAGACCATCCAGTCATCCTTTAATATTTTCATCGCTTATTGGTTCTGGTTGTCAGATTTTTGCTGTGTCTCTCATAGTCATTGTTGTTGCAATGATAGAGGATTTATACACAGAGTAAGTGTGATTGTGTCATGTCTTCCACATACAAATATTAAATGAGCTAAATCATTACAAAACTGAATGTTCTAACTGTGGTCTGAAAAGTTGCATTCCAGAGTCTATAATCAGATGCAGTATTCAAAAGTCTTTTTCTAAATTTTATTGAAATTTTGTCCTATTACTATGTAACTTGCATTTTTTTTGCATTTTTTTATTTATTATTCCTTGCTTTTTACATGATATATTAAAAAATGTGTGAATTTTTTTTTCCTGCAGTMCTGCAGGTGGATTAAGCATCAAAAGGCACAGATTTACCTCCTGATTTCATATGGAGGATCAGAATTTTACTGTTTCTGGCCTTTTCCTTGCCCTCCCATCCTGTAAAGACTGCAGTGCGAGTTTAGTGTGTTGTGGATAGTCTTGTTTATTGCTGGCAATCATTTAAGTTTATCTAGACATCTTCCCAGGATTGGGGACTTTAGGAATGCACACTCCCAAGCAGGGGTAACTGAACAGCAGTAGCTGAGCTGTAGTCCTGACTGGAGAGAATGAATTTAAATGGAATGGTGTTTTAGTTTACATGCCGCCACGAGTCTCAGCTCAGCTTGTTCTGTTCCTTGCTTTTTACTTGTTTGCTTTTGAGACTTTGGTATTTTGGAGGAGTGATGAACTTCGTGTTTGAGACCATAACAGTTTCAGAGACGCTTAGTTCTAAGCACCTACCAAAACGCCCAGTCTGTTCTGCTGTCATTTTCTCGTGTGTCTCCCCCAATTCTGGGGTTTTTGCAGGCTGCAATACTCGTGGCGTGCCACTAGAGAGAACTCTTGCTTTGGAATTTAAGCCCCGTAATGCAGTGGCTTCTGAAAATCCACCTGGCAGGACCAGTATTGTGGTGTATTTTTGCTTGTCATATGGTGGTATTTCCCTCCTCCCTTCTCCAGTGTTTCCATTTCTGGAGAGACTTCTAGGCATGTTTTTAAGTGGCTGGCATTTCAGCTCTGTAAGGTACGGACTGAAACTATTTCTTAAGTTGAGGAATAGAGATGAGTGAAGAAGGTCGTAAGACAGACTTACCAGTTGCTACCTGTGGGTGTTGTTCAGTCCTGTAAAACTCGTAAAGACCAGAGCTGACATCAAGTACATCTCCCAGTGACAGCTGATCAGGGCAGCTGTTAGTTTATTCATGTGGGGTTGTGTCTTGAAAACAGTTCCCATTAGAGCATTTGAAACATAAATGAGCAAGCTTGAGAGTAAGACATCTTAAGATCATCCCAAATTAGCATCTACTGGTTGTGATACAAATAACCTGTATCACTTCAGGCTCTGGAGAGTCTTACGGATTTTATTTTATGTGTRCTTGCTTTTATAAATTGGCTCAAATGAAGAAGGCATTAAAAGTTTGGTTTCTGTCTAAGTGGCTTTCTAAAACTGAAACATTGCTTATTTTGAATAAACAACCTAATATAAGAAGGTAATTAAGTGTTGCTATTTAACTAGTGCTTATTTCAAAATGTAATTAATATTCAAAATTTAATAGCTAATTTTCAAAAATTAGCTATTCAAAAATTGCTAATTAACTATTGCTTATTTCAGACCTTTCAGCAGCGGAAGCCAGTTGTACCAAAGGCTTCCAATGTTTGTCCATCAAAAGCCAAAATCCCAGGTGTCCAGAATAAYTAAGAGCAAATGATTTGGAGACAGTTCAGCAAACTGCTTGAAATCCTTATATGACTTACAGCTACAGGAGAGTCCATTGGATTGAAGGAGAAGCAGGGAAAGGGTCACCAGCAACATCTCTATCTTGCTATTTTTAGAGATGGCTTAAAAAGGTGTATTTCAAAGTGGCTTTTATGATTTAAAGTTTTTAGCTTTGCCTGGAAATTTTAGGAGAATACTTCAAGATGAGTACTCCAACATTTAGTGAGGTGATAATTTAAAAATGACCAAACTCTTTATAACTTAACTCCTCCACCCTGACTTGTAGCTTCATTATAGCAATTACAGTATGTAAATCCAATTCTCTAAGGAAGACTCTACTCTCTAAGTGTTCTCCAAGGAACACGTTCATCTTTAAATTTTATCTCTGAGAGATGGCAGAAATATCATTTGCAATCTTAGTATATTTTTAAAAAAATTGTCATCTATGTTTGCCTAAGAGTACCTTTTATCAGCAATAGTTAAGTCTTCTGCTAAATGTGTGTCAAATAGTTCAGTTTTCACACAAGGTACACACCTGGAAATGTCAGAATATTTTGGTCAAAGATGATACCTTGTGCTTAACTGCTGAATACACATTAAGAAAGAATGTGGTGTCTCAGAACCCTATATTTTTTTCCCCCCAATTGTATTAGACTGTGCATAAGAATGAGGATTCTTAAATGAGCRATTTCTCTTTAATTTTTACATTGGTTAGAATTATTTAATAACTGTYGCTAACTTTGCACATTTTAATGTTATGTATTGGTTTTATTCTGTTTTCTTCGCTGTTTCATTTACAAAAAATATCACTTTTTSTAGGAGAGGATCAATGCTCAGTACAGCTATATTTGTTTATGCTGCAACATCCCCAGTGAATGGATATTTTGGAGGAAGCCTTTATGCTAGACAAGGAGGTAAGTTGTTTTCATGCTTCACTGTTTTAATTATATTGTCAAGGGGAAAAGTTACTATTTTCTCATCTGTACCATTGTAGAAATGTCCTTATGGAGTTAGGGCATCCAGATGGAATCCATTAAATTCTTAATGAACATAAAATATTTTGAGTATATTTAACTATCCTGTTACTTCCTCTTCAATGCTGTCTGCTTTTTCCAGCTGAAAATAGCTGAAGTCTTTGGTTAGTTTAAAAACAGTAAGAGCTAAAGAGCTATTAACAGTTGTATCCTTTAGGGATTGCATGTTACACTCCTGCATATAGCTCCGTGTGTCTGATGACATCCAGAGGATCTAACAGACTCTCCCTGTTCTGCCTAGTAAGCTGTTAAACTGTTCATGTCATGTAAACTGCTCGTGTGACATGTTTCCCAAAGAGCCTTCCCTTATAGGGGTTGTGGGGGTTTTATTTACGGAAAGGAAGGGTCTGCAGTACCTCCTAGGACACTAATATCATAGATAAAGAAAAACTGGTCAAGGAATCTTTTTCAGAGTTTATTCTCCAGTTCATTATGCACTCTTCTTTGTACTTAAAATTAAAAATGAGCATCAGTAGAGAAGAGAGCCCCAGTAAATCAGACTTGATGTGTCTTCAAGTGCTCACTGCAGCATCTTGAGTCACGAGCTTGCGCCACAAGCTGCACCCATCCCCTGTGCTGCAATAGGGGAGTAATCAATATCTGTCATCCTCAGAGTGCTTTAGGAAAATTAAGTTTGGGTGAGCTTGCAAAACAAAATTTATATCTCTTCAGCAATAAACATTGATTAGTATTCAGTTGCTATGGCAGAGTTTGGAGGTCAGGTGTCTTTTTATGGCTTGTGTATCAACCATGTATAGTGCTATGCAGAAATATGGATATAGGCAGTTTGGAGTTACTGATCTAAAACTGTTGTACTGCTTCATTGCCCTTTGCTAAATAGTTAAGCCAGTTTTGCATGTCATCTGCATATCAATTATTCAATAAGCCATGAATTCCTGCTTATGTGGCTTATGATGGTAAATATATATATATATTATATATATAAAATAGTCTTGAGAAAACATGCAGTATTTTCTGGTTGTTTTCTACTTAGCTCATACTACAGTTACATCCACATTATATTTATATAAATAGAGTATTTAAGAGCTTAGAAAGGCAAGACAGTGCAGATAGTGAAATACGATATTGCCCAAGAGGTTTTGTTTTGATCTGGGATTTTTTGGAGCCCCTTAGGGAGCACTAGATGTACTAATAACTGCTGACAAGMGTTGCTGTTCCCCTTGCTGCCTGGGCTTTAAACATCCTTACCCTTTTTCCATTTCTATTGTGTTCTGTGATACTGTGCTCTATACGGCATGTAGTCACTTCCTTAAAGCATGCGGGAGGCAGGGAGCTTGGTGTGGGGCCACGATGACCTGGAGGGGAGGCGGCGCTGCCCGGGGGCAGCCGCAGTGCTGGGCTGGCCCCGGGGCTCTGCGCTGAGCTCGCCCGCACCTCTCCTGTGCAAATCCATGTGCTCAGGTCTGTACCTGTGTGTCTTTCTCCAGCTGCACAGCGTATGGTGTTGCTTGGACCGAAACTGTTCGCACTATATCCCCTTTCCATCTTCTCTGGCACAATAAAGTGCTTAACATCCTGCATCCTGTGACTTTCCAGGAGCCAGATAAAACTCTTAGTTGACTCTTGTATGTGTGGAGCGTGTTCTTACTCGTCTTTTCCCTTTGGGGAGGGGAGAAGGAAATGAAACCTAAATTCTGGAGGTGTTGCTGGTAATTTTTGAGCAAAATGACGCTCATCAGTTGCCCTTTCTTACAGGGAGGCGATGGATAAAGCAGATGTTCATTGGGGCTTTCCTTATCCCCGCAATGGTGTGTGGCACTGCCTTCTTCATTAACTTCATTGCCATCTATTACCATGCTTCAAGAGCTATACCCTTTGGAACAATGGTGAGTTTCAGTGGAGAAGTTAAACAGTRTTGCGGGCCCAGGAAAATTGCCTTTTAATCTTAATACAACTGTGAGTCATAGCCTCAGCTTCCTAGTTAGAAAATTATTCTGGTGGGATTTTCGGGTGCTTTGAGCAAGATTTGTTTTACTCGCAGTAACAACAGCTGCTGGAGGCTGACAACAGCCTTCTCTCTTCTTAAAATGGCACTTCTGCTGTGTATTCAAGTCTCATGTTTAATAGCCTTAAGAATAAACTGGGATAATAGCCTTAAGAATAAACTTAGCAATTTTAGTTTTCTTCTGAATGGCCAATGCAAACTGCTTATAAGCTAAAATGCAGTAGAGAAGCAATGCAATCAAAAGGCCCTTCCAAATCATTGCAGTTAAGTAGTAAAAAATTGAAATAAACAGAATCAGCTAATGGTGTGAAATTAGAAATCTCAGCCTTAGGAAAAGAGTCTCTCTTTTCACATCCTGAAGTGCTGTTTAGTTTCTTCTGTCTCTCTATAACTGTGTCACTTAATGCTGTTTGGGTGACTTCCTTATTTAATTAAGCTAACTTTCCTGTGTTTTGTTCTCCTGGCTTTTGTTAAAATTTTATTTGCTCTCCTTACCCTTGCAATTTAGCTCAAGTAACCCTGTTAAAATAATTTAGGAAATAATCTCTCCACTGTTGGATAAAGTTTCTGTTTGACCTTACAAGATATGATATTTGTGGGACCAGAGGGTTTTTTTGAAAAGTATACAATGAAACTGAGCTTTTTTGTGATATCATTCAGTAGCGCCGCTGACTTAAATTAGGTAGAGAGAGATTTCATAATAAAGGAAGGCTTGTGTTCTCTGCAATGCTTGTAGTAAATCTTGAGGTTATTTTTTTCTTTTTTTTTGTAGCCCCCTTCTGCTTTGCATGCCTCTCTTTATGGCATGTTAAATCATTTGGTCTCTGAAGAGATACTTGAGAAGTCTTGTATTTCTGCTTAGTTTAAATCTMCCAGAAAATGAAGCTTGGTATCGCAATGTCTGTTTTACGGATTTTAATATTAAAGTTATAATAAAAGTTGGTATGTGACTGAAAGTACTTAAAAACACATTGTTAATGAGTGAAAGTAGTAGAAATCACTTGATATAAACATTCCTAATTATAGTTACCTCAATATTTTTGGTGCTGTGATGGATATGCTCCTATTATTATTTCTTTCATATGAGTGAAGTGCATTTGGTCACTCACCCCAGCCACCACTCGTTCCGTGACAGATGCTCACCAAGATGCCACTTCTTACACTGAATTAGACATTAATTGCATGACCACTAAATACAGTATCAAGTCAACCATTTATAAACTGTTCATTTAATTTTTCTGGTTCTCTTCAAGAACTTAGACTGAAACTCGGACTTTGACTATGTCTATTTTAATTGGCCTTTGTCTAATAGGAATATTGTATTGGATTTTTTTTCCTRAGCTAGTGACCGTACACAATACTGTCAGAAAGGTTTACAATGTTAATCTCTGATATGTGTAAAGAGGCTCTGTTTTACTGCTGAGCAAGCATTTATGATATCACATTTCTTTCTGTATTCCCATGTGGAGTTCAGGAATGCTGACAGAAGGGAATTTCACCTGTATTGAAACTTGTCTTGTAATTCTGTTCAACTAATTTGTATTTTAAGCTCATGAAAACATGGGCGTACAAAAGCAAATGAGCACATAAATCTTCAGGGGTCACTTAATCTGGATGTTAGAACTCTGTTCACAGTGATTTTAATGATCTCAAGGTTTTATGAATGTGTGTGAATCATTATGACTGTGGTAATAAACCTTCAGTGGAGTTATCAGACTTGTAGAAGGCGCAGGTTCTGGGTAGGAAACTTCATCAGAATAATCAGCACTTTAATGAATTCTAATCAACTGATGAACCTGATTTGTAAAAGGAAATGAAAATTGTTTGAAACTTAACTGTATTGTGCTCAATGTCCCTGGGAAAGCCTCTGTCTTTCTGTAGAAGAATGTGTTGTGTTGTTTCTAATGCCTCCAGAATTCTCTAGTGCAAACTTGCTGCTTTCTTTGGGAAATAAATACTCTGCCATTCAAGTACACTCGAGGTTACCCCTTTACTCTGGGATGTTGGGAAAGACTTGCTTTAAATAGCTAGCAAGAATTACCACCTCTTCAAGTTGTGTAGATCTGGAAAAAGCAGAAACTGAGTTTCCAGAAAGCGGCACTGCACCATCAGCTTGCCAGGAGGCCCTGGTTAAACGTGGGATCTGGGCTCTGCCCAGTTCACCTACCCACTCTCCAGTGAACTACTAAGAGCAGCTTCCTTCTGTGTCTTCGTTTTTCCCTCCAGAGCTTTTCTGTTGAATTTGAGAAGAGCACAGTCATAGGGAAGACATCCAGACTAACCAACTGTGATGTACCTGGCATTGGTTTGATGGCTCTTCAGCACAGGGTGCTGAAATACTCAAACTGATTGGGCCCTTTAGGACCCTCACACACTTCACTGTTACCTCAGTCTGTCTGAATTTCAAAGCTTCTTTCACCTTTCCCTTCTGATTCCTCCTGTCTGGGATCTCACTGGAGATGTGTCAGCAGGGATGGGAAAGATGGATTGTCTCTGAAGTTGTGCTTCAGCCTTGGGGCTCCTTTTAGCCCTTTTGGATTTACATGCAAGCCCTCTGCCTACAATGAGACAAACCTTATGGAGTGAAGTACAGGGTACACCCGAACAAAGGCTTAATACYGTCCCTGGGATCTCTTTCAGCTGCTCTTCCCTTCAAAATGTAGTAAAAAAACATGACAGATTTTGTTTGAGGATGAAAGCTTTTTAAAACTTAATGGTTAAAACTTTCAGCTAGAGTGCTTAATTTCCCCTAAGCATATGAAGGAGCTGTAAAACTCTGGTTTCCACATCATCCCCATCTTCACAGAAATGTAGTGGATCCTGTTTGATTCTTTGTGCTTTTGGAACCCCTTTTCTATTTATGTTAGGGTTTTTTATTCATTATATCCTGCAGCTGGTGAACATAGAGTTCTTCTGAAAGTGTAGTGCACATTGACTTACCTTTTGCCATTTTAAGTTGGACTTTTCAGTATACTTGATCTATCATGTTTCTGTCTTGTAGAGTTTGTATTAAAAGCAGCAAATGCAGTATGGAACAGTTATCATTAAAAATAAAAAAATGATGCAAGTAAAGTGAATTGGCTGCACACCTTCCAAAGGAGTGCTGTAGTGATTTTATATATATATATATATATGTATGTGTATGTGTGTGTATATACATATATATATATATGTGCCTATCAAGTAATGCAGTATTTCTGCAGACTAGAGCATAGTTAAATTTAGGGAGACCATCTTAGTTGTGCTATTTCTCAGTTTATGGCTGCTGATGTTGTTCTGTGCATGACACATACCTTAAGGATTTCCATAAAGACTTAGTGTAACTACTGTTATATTCTAATTGCAGAATCTAAGCAGCTTGTACTAAACTGCTTAAACATACCCTTTCTGTTGCGTTTGAACAGTGTGTTCTTGTGTGGCTAAGATTTTCAGTACGCATTTTTAACTATGTCATTAAATAAGGTTATGCACATGTAATATTTCTTAGAATCAAGACCCTAGTGTTTGCAGTTGTTTTACATGGTGTAAGTGTTGTTCCAAACTCCAACAAATAGTTTAATCTCGGCTACTGCGGCCATCCTCAGGGGTTGTAAGTTGACAGGAGCATGAGCTGTTGTGACTGAGAAAGGTGGCAGCCCGGGTTTTCGTGTGGTGAGCTGGATGAGGAAAAGTTTTGGTTGAAGTTATATCTGCCCAAAAGTGGAAAAAAAAATCAGTGTATTTTCAGCAGAGTGCTTCCTTGGGTTGCTTGAAAGTAGCCGAGACCCTTATCAGAAACCTCGCTCGTCCAGAAGTGGACATAGACGCAACACTTCTGGCTACATTTTCAGCAATTCAGCTTATTTTTCAAAGCAGCATCATAGGTTAGCTATTTAATTGTAATAATGTACAACTTTATTTTGAAGTCTTGTATTTTATTTTCTTCTTCTGTGTGGTGACTGAACAGATTAAATGTATGAAGTTGTTTTGTTTCACTATAGAGATTCAGTAACCTCTACATAGGAGAGCCTTGTGCTGTCTGAGGGTGCAGTTTTGGTAGGTGACAGGAAAGATCAAGCATCTGCTGCTGCTTTGACAGTTAATTTTTATTGCATTTCTCCCTTGTGCATTAAGCAGTCAAGGCACTGCAGCCTGCCAGTATCTGTTTAATATTAGATATGCTCATAAAAATTTTAATTATCACCTTTGAATGAAGTTTAATCTACAGTTGTCAGAAAATGTGAAACACATGGTGGWAGAACATAAATTATATCCCTTCTCAACAGTGTTTCCTTTCAGATAAAGAGAACTGCGTTCTACGCGTTCAGTCAAGGGCAATAGGATATTCTTTCCTCCTCCTCAAAAAAAAAAAGGTTGGAAAGAATGCAGGCTTAGTGGGAGAGATAATCAATTTAAACTCTGTAGGTTTAAACATTACCCAGGCTGTACAGTAATTGCAATTGCCTGTGCGATCTGTGAYCAGAGATGATACCTGTTCAGTGCAGAAGGAAGGAGTGTCATCTTTGCAGGTCCTTTGCTTTGAGGGCTCTGTAGATGAGAAGAATGTGGCTGAAATGGTGCAAGCTGCAATGGCCAGTYGCCTCCGCCTTGCATGCAAAGATGCCAAGAATGGGAAAAGAAAAGGGATTTTCATCACGCATCAAAGCAAACTGCTCTTTCACATAGCAATTGCTCTCAATAAAGTGAGACTCTTTTTTTTTTTTTTTTTGATTCTGCTCCAGCCTTATTTCTTGAACATCTTTACAAACCACTGCACCTTGAACAAGCTGGGATTTCCTGATCAGGAGTTGCTTAGGCTTATTTAGGAGGATTTTGGGTTGTTACTTGCCTTTGCAGTAGTRTCTCATATCTTGTCCTGTGATGCTAATGGATTTTATTAAATATGGGACTTAAGATGCTGCTCTTTCAAGTATTTTACACTGAAATTCTTATCTGCTCTTCTTTTTTCTTTTTTTCATCCAAGTTGAGCTGCTTTCAAGAGCCAAGTTGCAGAACTCCATCCATTAAGTGAGGTCTAGGTAGTTACCTGCTTCCTCTGAGCATCATTCTTAGGTGACCTCAGAGTCCTGCCTAAATCACTCTGCTTGCTTACCAGGCKTTTTCCTGTGTTGGAAAAGATAGATGGAAGATATTAAATGTGTAGTGAGCTCTGCTTTATTAGTGTTGTCAGATGTAAAAACTACTTAGTGTCTTCTTATTTACAACTAAAGCTTCCAAGTTTTAGTGGTGTCTGATATTAATGTTTAATTAACCTCTTAACTATAAAGCATTTTGGACAGTGCTTCTGCTTGTTGCCCATTTTCACCGTATATCTCTTCTGTGAAGAAGTATCAACACTTGCTCCATCCAACCCCAGGCAATGGTGTGCAAGGCAGCAATAGACTCACTTTAGCCAGATGTTGCCTTAAACTTGTGTAAGAGCTGATGTAGTGCAACTTCTCTTCCCATAAAGCCTAGAGATTATTACTTGTCAGTTGCCTGAAGTAAGGTTTATAGATATAATGTATGTGAAGAACCTTCATTTACTGCAGAGTAACACTGGACAAGTCAGTCCGTGGTTCTGTTCCCTATTTTGGATTGATTTGCTGCCATGGACCTTTTTATGATGGAATGGAAGAGGAGTAGAGCAACTGTGACCTTGCTGAGGAGGTGCAGGGACAAGGCATGGGGCATTCCTTGGAACATAAAGAGCAGGCAGCAGTGCTCTTGAAAAAGCTGTTTTTCATATGTTTGTATAAGGGCGTTCACACTCTCAACATACAGGACAACTGTAATTATTGCATTACAGGAAATTGCTCTGTCTTTATATCAAGCTATGTAATACTTGTTCATTTCTGTGAAAGATTCACCAGTAGAAAACACTTTGCTAAATACTTAAAGCTATTTTGCAAAATAGAATGTATTGCTTTCCATGAAGAGCCAAGTAGAGCTACATGCACGTATTGCATAAAAGATGATTCATGGTAAAATTTTCTGGAGGGTGCATATTGTATAATGCTTCGTAATTAGAAGTGTTGTTCTACTGTGGTAACTGATAAGCACCAATATATCCAGAGTGGGTTGTTCATATCCTCTTCTGTCTTCTCATCCCTGTGTTTTAATTTGCAGGTGGCAGTGTGTTGTATTTGCTTCTTTGTTATTCTTCCATTGAACCTGGTTGGCACGATTCTGGGCCGGAATCTGTCGGGACAGCCTAATTTCCCCTGTCGTGTTAATGCAGTTCCTCGTCCCATACCAGAGAAAAAATGGTAAAGACAAGTGCATGTGAACTAGAACTATTCACTCTAGAATGTGCTTTTGTTTGGTTTGTTTTTTAATAACTTTTTAGGTTTAGATAGAGTTTTGTCTAAAAACACCTCCTCTAAAGTTTCCTAGTACAGTTTTTCTCTTGGAACAAAAATACCAACTGCAATTAATGGTTAATAATTGTAGCAGTAGTTACAGTCCTGGATCACTGATTGACATTTGGCCTGAATTGCTGTTCAGCCCCTTATATAAAAGGAATGGTCCCAACACAGTTCCTATATGGCTGTCTTGAAATGCAACTTCTCCTCTTTCGTTAATGCCTCTGACAGATTTAGGATTGAATGTGCCTTGGAGGCAGAGCTGTTCCGCTTAATGGTCTCCCTGTTCAGGCTGAGACACATTTGCAGGGTGATGTTAGGGAAAAGTTTGCAATACTGTTCCCTCTTCTGCACCTTTTTGGATGGCATAGAGCCAAGTGCATAGTTGGCATCGTGAATAAGCTTTAATTATTTTTGAAGTGARTGTCTGTGGATGCCTAGCCTAAGTAGGCTTAACTTTTTGGAGTATCACAAATGCAATCGCATTTTCTTATTAATTTCATTCTGAAATTGAAGCAGCAAGCTATGGAAATAATATCCTCAGAGGATGTTTTTAATAGATTTTTCTTGCCTTTCCTGTTCAGAGGAATGGAACAGATGGGCTAAAGGGGGCACTGAAACATGTACACTTGCAATATCCAGGAAGTGCAGCACACTTAGTCTCTTGTCAGTGGCGGGTTGCACAGCTGAGAAGCTAGGATTTGATTTATAGCGTGGCCTGTATCATGGGAAACTGATGCTTTTTGCTGGATCAGGATGACAGATAAAAAGAAATAAGATAKTCTTCATGAAGATGAAATTACACACCTCAACTTAGACAAGTCTCCTTCTAAATAATTAAGGAAGCTGCAAATTAAATCACTGCTAGCTAGATTGAGTATCATTGTGAGTACTACAAAGAGGTCACCTTTAGTATGTAACACTATCGTCTACAGGTAGCTAGGTATTAATTTTTGGCCATATACTCATGACACTGACTCAGTGTAGCACTGAAAAAGTACAGTGATCCTTAATTAAATGACCATAACCTTTTTTTTCCCCTTTGCAGTATTAAATGTATGGTGATCAACAGCACTGAGTTTTCACTGACCCCATTCAAGGCYGATGAGACTTTGTTGTTAAGAGACTTTGTTCGGCCCTTTTTAGAAAAGAGGGGTTATTTCTGTAACCTTTAAGGCTAGTTAGATTTATAACCTTTGCTTAGGATTCCCCACAAGTAATTTTTCCTCTCCATACACATGACATCTTTGGGGAAATTTCCTTTCTAACGTAATGGTATAAGAGAAAAATTCTTTTTAACATGCCTATTATGTATGTTTATAAATAAAAGATTAAAGCTGTCCCTATACAAATCTTAATATCTTTCAGGTTCATGGAACCAGCTGTTATTGTTTGCCTAGGTGGAATCCTCCCTTTTGGATCAATTTTTATTGAAATGTAAGTTTGTCAGCTATTTACTGATTCAAGCTACTAATAATTTGTCTCATAACAATGTCATCTGTATATTTGGWTTGTTCTCTTCAGGTATTTCATTTTTACGTCATTCTGGGCTTACAAGATCTACTACGTTTATGGCTTTATGATGTTGGTTCTAGTTATCCTCTGCATCGTGACAGTTTGTGTGACTATCGTTTGTACATATTTCCTGCTAAATGCAGAGGATTACAGGTGGTAAGTATTGTATTTTTTGCATAAATAGACAAATCAAGAGTGTTTTCTGTGAAAGTACTTTTTCTTCTGTCTAAATGGATCTTTTCAAAGTGTCCCATGTCCAGATTTCAGCTCTCAGGGTTGTAGAAGGGCAAACTTGCTTGTGCATACCTGGCTCTTGAAATCTTCGTGAACAGGAGCTGTGCATGTGTGTATATGCATTTTTTAAAAAAGTCTAGCCTCAGTATCAAGAAATTCATCATTTGATATCAGCAGTGGCTGCCACTGAAGCAGGATCTCAGAGGACTGGGCATTCCAGATCTTGGAGTGCCCCAAAAGCGCTTGAAGGGATACATGTAGATTTTGTTAAATAAGTCTATGGATAATCAGTATACTTCTCAGAGCAAGTTGTTTTAGCCTGTTGTGTATCTATTTCAGTTAGATACGTGATGGGTATATGTTTATTTTCAGGCAATGGACAAGCTTTCTTTCTGCTGCGTCAACGGCGATATATGTTTACATGTACTCCTTTTACTACTACTTTTTCAAGACAAAGTAAGTAGTAATTTTCTTGCATGATGGTATGATTATTGATAAGCCAAGGAAGTTTTTTTTAGCATGCATGTAGAAGAATGGGAGAATAACCTGGCAATTTTTTCTTCTTTTTTTTTCAGGATGTATGGCTTGTTTCAAACATCATTTTACTTTGGTTATATGGCAGTATTTAGCACAGCTTTGGGAATTATGTGTGGTAAGTTTCAAATGCATTGAAAATAAGCTGTCAGAAATTATCAGATTGTCATGTTTCTGATTTTAGTTCTGTGGTAGGGAAATAAGTATGTGTGTCAGATCTGCTAAACAAACCTTACAGTCTTTTGAAAGTCATCCTAGTTCTCATGCTTCCTCTTACTAGGTTAGGAGGCTTCTATGGATTGTTTCTTCACATAGGAAATAATTTTTATGTACTATGCCAAGAATTTCAAMCTCAGTGCAAGGCAAAGACTCAATGTTGAGTCAGAATACAGTAGTAGAAGCATTTTCAACCCACTACATTTTGCGAAATAAATTTCAAGTTAAGCTGAATCCCTGTTAATGTTTTTGTTCGGAGTTTTTACTATTGTCTAATTACAGAGATCTAGATATTTGTTGAGGCATCAGTGACAGCCCATTCGAATGATGCTCCCATCTGTATCTTGTAGCTTGTGTATGTGAATGATAAGATACAGAATGAACTGAAACTTCAGGATAGTGTTTGAGAAGTAAACATTGAAATATTCACAGATATGGAGAGAACGGATGCTCTTTTGTGTCAGCTGRGTTTCATTGCTTGTTAAAAGGTTGTTTTTTGAAATATCTTTAAGGGAAAAAAAGCACTCTGTAGTGAAGACCATCTGATGAAGTCAAGTGTACTTGTCTGTTAGCTTGATTTTCATCACTCTGAATTCCAGAAAGTGCTCTGTAGTTTTTCTGCACTTTTATGGGATGTACTTAGCTTTTTTTGCATTATCCTTATGTAACACCTTTTTCCTGTCAGTAAATGAATAGTCCTATAGACTATAATGAAAGACTTTTTTGTGAATTAGAGATTTGAAACCCATGATATCTTACAGGACTGGACTTTCTATGAAGTGCGGATTTCTTGATATCCCAAGAAGCTGATTTCAAAATGCTCCATAAAAAGGGGAGAAAATCACTTGTAACTGCTGAGTACCTGTTTCCTTTCTCCCTCATGAAATCTAATCTTGCCTCATCAAGTTCTTGGCACATTACAAGACTTCCCTGCTGTTCTGGTAGTCTTGCAGCCATTTTTTTTCTTTAATAGGCTTATACTTTTCAACTCTAATCTCTTTCTTTTTAAAGTGTTCAGGCTGGTATTGATTAAAATGTCTGTAATGCAGAAGCCGAGCTTGCACACAAGATTCTGTAATTAAAATATTTTTAAAACATTAAACAGGAAGATTGTCCAATGCTTTCCCATCACRATGGGATATTACTTGATGGAATGTTAGAGCAAAGTCTACATTGCTTCAGAATCAGGAGACATTTGTTTTACGTGTTGAATTGCATCCCCACAGCCCTGTTGAGACTTTGTTGTGTCTTTTTAACTGTATATTGGAAGAGAAGCTGTGAGGTTCCTTTTTACTGAGGACTCCTATTTTCAGCCTGTTGAGAGGGGGGGAATGTGGAAATCCCCTGTCAAAAAGCATTTGTCCAAGGAGCTGGCTGCCATTGAGGACTAACAAAGACATTTGTGTTAGGGAATTGTGCCATGGGCATGTTGCTGACTGTACATCCCCCGGGGAAAGCGTGGAGAGCTCTGCTTTCCACRCGCATGCAGATGGGTATGGTCGGTGCCACACAGTTGGGTACCGGATCCAAAGCAGCCCCAAGGAGAATCTCTGCAGGCTGGTATCAGTCAGGCTCCTCACTAGACTTAATGAACTCAAATCCCACTTGGGGTGGGGTGCTTTGATTCACAAAGGCTGCTGCCCTCTGCAGAGCATCTGGGGCTCGACGGTAGGGAGCCCATGAGAACCTGCAAATCTTCTGAGCTCCTCAGTCTTCTCCCTCAGTGACAGGTAAGGACAAAACTGGTTTCCTAGCTCAGTAGATGGCATTAGAGCTAGGTGAATTGTGCCCTTCTGCAGTGTCATACTCCACATCCAGATAAACACTAGGTGATTGAAGGTAATTTGGCTTTTGTTTTTTTTTTAAAAAAAAATCACCTCTATAATGAGAGTTACTTGGTTTAAATTAAGAGAAGGGAGTCAATATTTTACTATTCTATGGATGCTTTATCTGGCTACTTGGATTCTTTTGAGTTCAGTTTGTTTAAAGGCTTGTTCCGCTGAGATACGGTTATGGCCTATTCGGCCAAACTAGTACAGGCCAGAAATAGTTAATATTGCATAACCTTATGCAATGATATTTATAACTTTAAAGAATCATTTAGAAATAAAGATTTCTAAAGGGAAAGAAAAAACTTTCTTTTTTAGTGAAGGAAAGCTGTTGTCAATTTTTCTTAATAATGGTAGGATTTCTGTATTTAACTCATCTTGTGCAAGTCTCATGCATCCTAGCTCACTTCACCAAGAATGCTGCTTCATGCTTCATCCTGGCATTCTTTGCATTGTTCCAGGGAAACAAGAGACTCTCTTCTATCTCGAGTCCATTCTTTACTGAACATCTAAATGTTTGATGTTAAGGTTCTCTTTATCTGTAGTAAGTGACAGGCCCTGACTTCCTTATCATCATCTTTTGATATTTAATGATACGCTTTTTGCAGCTGTCTGAGAGCAGTCCTGTATATATCTTGCTTGGTTTTCCATCTCATTTCTAACCTGAAAGTTAGCCAGACTGACTTCCAGAAGGCTGGTTTAGTCTTATTCTGCTTGCAAGCAATGAGGAACCCCCAGATAGGGTATTTGCTGTGGGAATCAACACTGTCTGCCCAGCCTGGCAAGCCTGAGCCGCTGGGTTTGACCATCTCAATCCCCTTCTGAGAGGAGATCTTGATCTTTCGTGGTCCTGTGCATTTCTTTCATCTTTCCAGGTGTCCTTAGTCCTGCCATATTTTAGATTTTATGCTGAACTGTTGCCCCTATCAAAAACCCAGTGACCCGTTCTTTTATTACTGCTGTGCCAATAAGTACTCTGCTCATGACTCTTACTGATTTGAAAACCACAGGTTGCCATTTCTCTTAAGTGCTAACTGCTACTAGTTTAATCTTTTTGTACAGACCTCCTTGTAGTTGAAAACCCCTGYGATGGGGATCTATTATTATTTGTGCCTCGTGGTAAGAAACAAGCCATCTGTCAATAAAACACTCATCCAGAAGGCATGTGACTTATAATAAAAACCCGCGCTCCCATCTCCCTTCCCTGCAGAGTTGGGGATTGTGTGTTTCCTACCCTCTGTTCAGAAAGGAGGACCCGGTTATTGGCAGCAGTAGGGGGGCTGCTATATTTATCGAGGCCAAGTGAGCATGGCCTCTTGGTAAGGTGACTTAATGGATTTAGATTGCTAGAGTGGGGCAGTTTGGGGCAGACATGCACTGGGAGCACGGATAATTAGAATTTGAGAATAAGTGCCCCTGGTAAATGATTTGCTTTGAAAAGTATGTGATTTATGTTTAAAGTCTGTTTGGTTTCTGTTTCTGTTTTGTTTTGATGATCAGCTCTAACACTGAACGTTTTGTGTTTGTTTTTGCAGGAGCTATTGGTTACATGGGAACAAGTGCCTTTGTTCGTAAAATCTACACTAATGTGAAAATTGACTAAGGAAATACGAAAATTGAACTCTGGATCAGCTTGTGTTTTCATGGGGATGAACTTGCACAGCGAAGAGCGCGAGAAGAGATTTGGGTTTAACACTGGGCACTCGATGGGTCTCCGTTTTGTGGATGGCTTAAAGTAACATCTATTTCATTGATCCTAGGTTCTTACTGACTGCTTTCTCCAACTGTTCACAGCAAATGCTTGGATTATATGCAGTAGGCATTACTACAGTATGTGGCTAATCTTCCCCAAAAAAAGAAAAAAAGAAAAAAAAGAAAAAAAAAMCTAGCTCATTAAAGATGAATAGACTAGCTCTCTTCAGTGAAGAGGACAAACGGTTTATTTAAAGCATTTGTTCCATTCAATAAAAAGAGGGAAACTTGGCTGCTAAAACTACTTGATTAGTAGTCTTCCTGGTACTTAACATTTCTAAATTATGTAAAAATGCTGTTCCAGAAAGATTACTTTTCTGGTTTTTACTGCCATTGTCAGGATAAGGAGGTGTGTTTTATATTTTGACTCCAGGTGCTTTTTGGTTTATTTGCAATATCAACTATACCCTACACTCATTTGTTTAAAAAAAAGTAATTTAAAAATATATTAAGAAACCCATATGCATGTAATATATCAGCTATCATTCTAGTTGGACCAACTTCCCTTTATTTATCTTTAAAATAATCCAGCTACGTCTTAAATCCATCCAAAGAAAATACAGTCTGAAAATGGGATGTGTTCTCTGCAATGCAATTTACTGTACAGTTAGAAAGCAAATATTAAATGAAGAGGATTTTGTTTTTAATAAACATTGAGGTCTAGATTAAAACAAAACCAACATTTTAACTGAATGTCTAAAGTGATTCTCCTTTTTTTTTTTTTCCTCCAAGTTAGTCTTTTTTTTTTGTTGTTGTTTGGGTTTGAATATTTTGCTTTAGACATTATACAGGGGTAATAAATGTATATAACATTAAATAATGTAACTTAGGTATAGATCCCAAATGTATTTGGATGTACAGATTTACTACAGAGTACTTTTCTGATGATTCGGTGTACAAATGTGTGAATTGGGTGGCTTTTTACATCTTGCCTGCCATTGCATGAAAAGTTGGGGTTTCTTCACAATGTGTGTATGTCATGCTTTTCTGTTCTCTTTCTTTTCTGAAGCTCTTACAGGAATTAAATTTGTAATTTAGAACATTTTAATTTTGTTAATCTCATCTGGACACTTGTATAACATCAAAAGCAGTCGCTTCAGAGTGTTCAGAAAACAAAAATAAACTTTTCAGACAAAAATGTTCTGATTGTGAAAATAGCTGAGTTTGCAGTTGAGAGTGTCTGCTTAAAAAGGCAATACTACTGAATGCCAGTTTCTGTATACAATATTAACATGCTTTCAAATATGAAAATCCCACACAAATCAGAGTTTGCCTGCAGCTGTATTGAACAGTACAGCTCCGGAGTGGATGACTAGTGCAAAAATGGTTGCTTCTGGATGAACATTGTTGGAGAAATCTTGTGTGCTGAGAAAAAATGGAAGTAAGCACAGATTAAAAGAAATGGCCAAATAGAAGTTAAGTCTTTCTAGGACAGATGAGTGTGAATTATGCACTGTGCCTAGCTGGAAGGATTCTAAATGTGTTTCTGTGACAGATGTGAGATCCAGTCAGCTTGAGACTTCTCTGGCATCTGCCGTGTAGCGATGCTTTCCTCGGTGAGGCTGTTTGAAATGGAGCCCTGCCTCGGAAAGTGCAGCTTGCTCAATCTGAGAAAGAAGGAAAGTCTTTGTACTTGTTAGCACTGTGCTGCCTCTGGACCAAATCTGCTGGTAATGCAGTGGCAAAGGTGCAAACCARTCCTGCCTTTAGCTTTCCCCTCCCACAGCCCCCAAAGTTATAGGTAATAGTGGGAAACAGTGCATCCTGTATATGACTTTTTGTACAAAAACATTTGAGCTTTCAGCTGTGATTCTTGTGGCCAATTTTAACCAGTCTGGTTAAAAGAATTAAGTTTTGCTTCAAGTGAGTGGTTGGTGCCTGTTGCTGAATGCTCTGCCATTTAAGAGGAGATGACTCTTTTAACATTACGGACTGATTTTTTAAGATGGGCTCATAAATTGGGTCACCAGTTTTCCTTTATTTCAAAGTATGGAGACTTGGGGAATGAGTTTTGTACTTGTTCTTGCCGGGGCACGCAGCTCCTCTCTTCATCCATGTTCTTCTAAATTTGAAGTGAAAAGCCATTATCTCCACACAATAAATACATTAAGTACTCCTCTGAGATACAAGTTTTCTTTAAAGGGAATATTTTGATAATGAGTCTGTTTCTGTACTTACAGCACTGCTATATGATTAGCGTATCAGAAATGTCACTAAACCATTTGTGAATTCCATGTAATCACTTTTTAATGCCACGGAATGGTGGGCTGCCTACTTGCTTTCTCTATCCTCTGGCATTATTAGCTTTTGCATATACGGATAGGATTGTGTAGCTTTTAAAGTGAYATAGAAAAGACACGTCACAGCCCTTGCTTTTGTTTCTGAAAGGACGTTACTCTGGAGAAGTACTGTGTGTTTAAATAATTGACATTTTTATACTTCTGCCTTACCACATGAACAAGCTGTGAGTTTGCTTTGTTTTTCCCTTTCAGCTTCTTAAGGAGTGCAAAGTGTGACCAGTTTTGAACAGCTTTTCCTTACGGTTGCTGTTTGAAGCAAGGCTATTTATTTGCTCTCCAGAAGCTGTGGATATATATTGAACCATCTTGCATAAAAGAATTTGGAAGCTCTCTGCTTAGATAATGTAGTCCTTCTTCTTTTATGGAAGAAATAAAGGTCTTGCAGCCAACACTCCTTCTTCCATGGTTGTTTCAAAGGAGTTTGTGGTTCTTGAATTAAAGATTTTTGATAACTCCTCAGTTGGCCATTCAGTGATTCTTTTCCAATTTCTGGTACAGAGGCCAGAGAATTCAAGGAGTACTTCTGTCGTAGTAGCTAGTCTCTAGCGCATGCTTTAGATGAATGCAGTTGTGACTCTGTTAAATTGAGGCAGAGTGCATATAGAAAGCAGCTCGGGTACATTTTGTTTGAGAAGTGGTCAACACTGGATTGTGGATAATGAGGGCTGCAAATAAACATTACATGATGCTCCTTTTTTGATGTCCGAATGCTTTGAAGCAACAGTAGCTATCAGTTCCTCTCCTGATCTGCATTACAAGATGTGTAGGGGGTGCACACAAGGCAAACTGGTTTCTATACCATAATATGGATGTAATTTTTCAAGATGGCTTTTTACCTGAAACTTGCACATACTGCTGAATTACATTTTTTTGGTGCTTAACCTGCTTAAAATTGATAGCCTGTTTATAAAATCTCAATGTGGTGGCATCCGCTAGCTTCTCTGAAGATTTTCTCTTGATTAATACTTAACAGAAGTAACACAGAAATGATAAAGCTGAATTTTGCCCTAGCTTTAGCACTAATATATCTAGTCAAATTTATCTTCCCAGGCAAGTAGATGTAGACAACTTTACTGCAAATGGCAGAATTGCCCAAATGAGAGTTAGCAATTAGTCCACTGGAATGGATCAGAAAAGCGAAAGCCCAGGAAAAAAAAATAAGTGCCTCATGTAACCTGTGGTCTGCAGCTGCAAGGAATGTGGAGATACAGTCAGTGGCTGGATCTAGAATAGATGGATGTAGAGTGCCTGGAAGGGCCCATTTGCCTGGAATTCTTCTCTATGCAGCTCGCGGGTCAGGGTGGGCATCAGTGGAAGCCATAGGCTGGACAAGGATCCGTCTCCTGGAGCTGCTCTTGTCACGTTCGAGCTCCGTGCACTGGCGTGGCAGCAGCCTGGCCGTGGCTGTGACTGCTGCAGCTGCACCAGAAGAGGCAGCAGTTTGGAACTCAGCTCTCTCAAGAACGTCAAGATGTAAGTCCTAAAAGACACTGCTACTGSTAGAGCTCTGGACAAAGCCCACACCTTACAAATTAAGAATGCAAACCATAAATAATGTGGCTTCTAAGGAACATCTTTTAAAACAAAGTTTTGGTTCCATTCTTTTTCCAAATGCGGAAGAAATGTGTGGCAAAAGAACATTTCCTTTCTGATAAAATCAGTGAGAAAATTCTCCCAGTATTCGGAGAGGAGACATCTGCATGCATATTCTGCAAGTAGCACTCGTGCTCCTCGCAGCTGGCACTTTTATCCGGCGGGTGGTTTCAGTCTCGGGGAACGGGTGCTGAAGTAATTGCTTTTATGACTAGTTAACTGATTCTGAAATTCTTCAGTTTTGGGGTTGTGGCATGTTGGAGAGGGGAAAAAAAAAAAAAAAGTGAGAACTCCTGAGTCTAAGCAGCTTAACTGTAATTCCAGTGAGTTAAAGCAGTTTTTGGAGAGAATCGCTTTAAAGGGCAGAAACTCAGCTGGGAAAAGGATAGAAAGTTGCCCTGCAGAAATGGGAGGGAAACATTTCCCCTCCCGTTTCCCTCTGACCAGCAGTTGGCAGGTGAACGGCGAGTGTTGTCTCTCTGCACTAATATCTGACAGCCTTACAGAGACAGAGCGCAGCCAGTCGCACGTGAGGGCCGAGGGATGGTGCTCGGTCAAGGGTCTGTCTTCTAATACAGCCTTGAGAGAGGCAGTTTTGTGAGCCAAGGTCTGGACTTGGACTCCAGAAAGTTGTTTTAAGTAGTAATTTGAATCTTTTATCTTAGTTTTGTTGAGGTTGGTTTTGTTGTTTTCTGTTACTGTGCAGGCTACTGCTGCACTGTCTGAGCCTGAAATGGGACTGCGTTTTTTATGCATGATACACATAGCTAAATAGCGCAAAAGGAAGTGACTATTCCTCAGTTTAGTGATCTAAAGTGTTACACACAAGATAAGCCAGATTTAAAATACTGCTTGCCCATATCTGTCCGTTCTGTACCATAGCCACGGGTGCAATGTGGGAGAATGACAGATACATCCACGTACACAACTGGTGCTGAAACAGCAACTGGGAAACTTCCCTAGGGCAATTCACCATGAAGCAATACTAATATCTTCCCTGTGTGCGCACACACACTAATTCATTGGGATTACTCCATCTTTGATAGCAGAGGTGTTAGGAAATGCTGTTACTTTCACATATCCATTCCTCAGGGGAAAAAAAAAGTTTATCCACAGCGAAGTTTTTTGCTCGTCTGTTCTGACCACAGCAGCTGCATTTCCAAAGGTGTTTTGTTCCCTTCTGTTTAGCCTTGCAGCAGAGATCACCAAAAACGCTTGCTTTTGCTAAACCATTTTCAAACACACCAGACTCCTCTATGAGCTCTGAAAATGATTTTTAAGTGAATTAATGAAATATCAGCTTCACACACGTCCAGGATAGGAACCTGTGCCTAAATCCAAATTCTTAGGCTTGAATGTGAGAGGTCTTTCCCACAGCTCACAGCTTGTTTTTGAGTACAGTTCAAAAATACCACAGAAGGTACTTTGCTTTTCCTCACATAATTTAAAGTTTGCAGTAATCAAAGAGCAATGCTGTTTGGAGAGTGCTTGCTGTTGTTTTAAGATGGAATAACTTAAAATCCTTAAAAACTTAAAAGATAAGGTGAAAATAAGGGACTTTGTTGGGGGAGAGAAGCCCATAAAGTTGTTAGTAGAAGATGTGAGACTGTGTTGAGAAGCAGAGGGAAAAAGAGTGGCTGAGCTGTGCCCGTGGTGGGGCTGCAGAGCACTGGGGTTCCAAGTACGGCAGGGTGGCTCCCTGCCAAAAAAGGGGGTAATGAAATGGGAGGCAGTGAGGGAAGTCTAAGCAGAAGTGATAGGTAGAGGGAAGAGAAGATGCTACAGGTTCAGAGATGTGCTCTATCTGCCCTTGTGATGTGGCCAAATGAAGGAAGAAAAATCTTTGCCTCTTTGGGAACTGAGAGCAGAAAAGGAAGTCTCAGCCTGGGGAAAGCCGAGGAGTCAGCAGTGGGACGGGCTCTGAAGGGAGGTGCCAGTCACTTTGTTATGAGATTAGATGGTCCTGGGAGGGGGCAAGCAGTGAGAAGCAGGTCTTATGGAAGAGCGGTGCACTTGGGTGTGTGTTTTAGCCTGAGGACACGTGTGCGGGGTAATTCCATCAGCAATAAGTAGTTTCCACACAGCTTTGCTCATGGATGCTGTTCGGAAGCGCTACGTGCATACTTGCTCAGTGAGGCTTGAAAAGGGCAGATTTTATTTGTGTGCATTTGGGGTGGGAAGGGGGAGGGATAGCAGGGAGATTCTTCCTGGAAAAGAAAAAATTCCCTCAGCCAGCAAGGGATGAAGATTGCTTTGTGTCCAGTTGTTTAGCCGTTACTGTCAGGAGTTGCACTGCCTGTGTGAAACTTCACTGACTGCTAAAACTGAATGTTTTAGCAGCTCATATTTAAAATGTCTTATGAAAGCATCTTTTTTTTAATGTTCCTTATTTGCACTAGGGCAAATAGGGCACCACTCTACGAAGGTGATGCGAACTGATCATTTTCTCAGCGCTGAGAAGAAGCAGCCATTGCTCGGCACACGCTGCTTCGGATGCTGCTCACAGAATGACGTGAGCTGGGACCACTCAGCATTGCTAGAAAGGCTGAGTTGCCCTCTTGCTGGGGAATGGACTGCTAGGAGGAAAGTTTGCTGTAGTGGAGGAGCTATTTCGTTTGTGTGTGGATATCAATAATATACTGCTGAGAGCTCTCATGGGCTCATTCTAATTGCACAGCTACGTTTTGCTGCTTTCCCCCTCTTTCCGCGCTGCTGGATGTTCTGAACGGCTGCATCCACAAGGCACCATCTACTGCAGAGCTCCTGCTCCCCGGCATAGGCTGCCAGCCTGCAAGAGATTATCAAGCAATTTCCATGTGGTCAAAAGACTTTTTTCTCGGTGGGTAACCACCCAAATCTCCACACTGCTGAAAAGTGCATGGCTCGCTCTGCTGATCCATAGTGTTGATCACGGAAGCTGTTTATTCTTCCTTTGAAGTGTCCAAGACTTTATTTTCCAATTTCCCACATGGTTGGTGAAAGAGAATAATGTTGCAAAGACCTGCTCTATTAGAGGAGGGAAAGGAGCAGGTAGTGCTTTTATCTCCTAGAAACCAGAGTTCCTCAAAGGAGAATCAGGTTTTCCTTTTGAAGTAACTCAGTCTCTTAGGCTCTGCTCTTTGACAAAGTCAGAAAGTAACAGTCTAATAGGGAAAGAGTAAAGGTTGTTAACAGGTATATGGGAAGTATAAAACTCAGGAAATGGGGGTGGATCTAGGTATTTTACTAAGTTATTCTGTTGGATATTTGTCTACATTCCTGTTTTAAAAACCCACAAAGTCTCTCCCTTCCCCATAACAATCTGCCTCAGGGTTTCTCTGTTCCTGTTGCTGGAAAGCTTGCCTGAAACCAAAAGTGGCTTTTGGAAGAGCCACTGCTAATTCTTTATTTACATATTTTAAGGTGGCTATTGGGTGTTCCTTCTTCCCTCCTGTAAGTTCTCAGCCTCAGGTCTTGCATAATTGTCCCTAAATCCCCCAATAATCATTACAAAGTGAGTTTGTAATGAGCATCCTAAGTAAAACTAAATGGACAGACAGCTGTTTCATTATCCTGAATTAGCAACAAGTCCTAGTCATAACCTGAAGTATCTTTCTGTTGTACCTGTTTTCACCTCCTTTCTTGCCCAATTTGATATGGCAGAAGAGTGGACAGTGCTTTCATCAGCGAAATGTCTGAGCCCTTCCTGGTAGCTGTGTTCGTGACATCGGGTGTGTTTTATTTTTTTCTTGACCTCTCCCCCTGGGGAGACTGCATATAGTGGTGTGTTATTTTGCCAGTGTCTCATGTGTCCTTAGAGCTGTGTGTTAGAGAAGATAGGTGGAGAATCCGATGCTTAGAGTACAAGTGGGGGAGTTGCGATAGCTTCACCTTCCTTCGGGAGTGTTCTCTGTGGTCTTCAGACAGCTTCTACACAAATGGACTTTCACCAGTTGTAGAAAATCCTAGCATGTTTGATCAGCAGATCTTGTTGACCATGGTCTTCATGTGAGGTTTGGATGTAATCTTTTTGGCCCATCTGAATGTTTGAATAGGATATGCATATCCCGATTGGATGTTTTCTGGGAAGCCAATACAAAATAAAGGAGGGCTGAAGGGGAGCATGGTTCACGGCACCCTGTGATGCTGCTCAGGAGATGTCTGAATCACATTGTGCCTTTTCATACTCGGGTGTTACTCACTGCTGTGGACAAGCCTGCCAAGGCCAAGCCATTATCTGCCTGCGCGCAAGGAAAGGTTTGCAGCTTATGCCATGGTGGGAAACTGTTTGCAGATACCACTATGGGAGTTTGGAAGGTGTGACACAGGGAGACTCTAGTAGGTCTTTCAACCCACAGAGCCTGCACTGAGTTGAAACTTCTCAGCTTTTCTCAGCTCAGCGGTACAGCACCTGAGTTGTCTTTGCCTAATGCTGCATGGTTGTGAGTGACAAGAGAATAGGGTGACAGATAGAGGAATGGGACAAATTCTGGTACAAACGGAGTCCGTAAAAAAAAAAAAAAAAAAAAAAAAAAAAAAAAGTGGGAAGAGAATGAGGTGCATGGATACAGGAGAATGAGGTGGATAGATACAGCTGCTGCTTTATCTCTCCTACTTATGAAGAGGTAATTTGATTTATAAGAGGAAAGGCACAGATTTTAATATGATAATGTCTACTCTCCCCTAACTTTTTTTCCCCCCTCACAAATGCACATGAACTTTTGCTTTGCCTACAGGTGCGCAAGCTGTTCCCAAGGGAAGGAGGACGGAGCCTCTTCTAAGGGCGCACGCGGGGCGGCGGCCGTTGGGTGCACGTGGGGCGGCCGTTGGGGCGCGCGGGGCGGCGGCCGTTGCGGGGGGGCGGCCGTTGGGGCGTGCGGGACGGCCGTTGGGGGGGAAGCGGCCGTTGGGGCGGCGGCCGTTGGGGCCCGCGGGACGGCCGTTGAGGGGGGCGGCCGTTGGTGGGGCGGCCGTTGGGGCAGCCGTTGGTGGCGGCACGCGGGGCGGTGGAGTGGAAGCCGTGGGGGGTGCCCCGCAGCGGCCGCCCCAGGCCCGTCCCCGCCCGGCTCCTCCGCCCCCTGCCCCCCGCGGCCGCGGCCCCGGCCAGGGGCGGTGCGCAGGGCGCGGGGCGCCCCCCGCGCGGGGGCGGTGCGGCGGCGCGGGCGCCATTGGCTCCCGGTGCGCTGAGTGACGGGGACGGAGGCCAGCGGGGCGGGGGCGTCCCCGTTCCCCGCGGCAGGAGCGGCCCCGCGGCGGCGGCAGGGGTGGCGTGCGAGGCTCGGCGCCGTGCAGTGCCCGCAGCGCGGGCAGCCGAGCCGCTCGCCCTGCTCCGCCGCCATGGGCAGCGGGGCCGCCCCGCTCCGCCGCCTGCTGCTCGCGTTCCTGCTCCTGTCCGCCGCGGGGTCGGCGGTCCACGAGCCGGAGATGGCGGAGGAGCAGATGGAGTACCGCGACCCCTGCAAAGCCGGTAGGCGTGCGGGCACTAACTCCCGGAGAAGTTTGCGGTGCGCTGCGAACGGCGGGCGAAGCGCCCCCCGGCGCTCTCCGCTCGCGGGCGCCGGCAGGTGCCGCGGCGGGACCGCCGGCCAGGACCCCGCTCGGCTGCCGGTGCTCCTGGGGAGGCGGGCGCGGGGCCGCGGAGAGGCGGCTCGAGCGGCGCCGCAGCCGCGTCCCGCCGTCGCTCGGCGCCACTCGCGGAGCCGTCACCCTGGCGAGTCCCTCGGCTGCCCCGCGAGGGGCCCGGCTACGAGGGCTACGTGTATGATTTTGAGAAATTCAAGGCACTTCCACCGCGTCCCGTCCCTCAGCCACCTGTCACCGACCCCTCCCACGTCCCATCTTCTCTACAGAGCTACAGAAACGCGTGGCACTAGTTAGCATTTCCCCCTCTCGTGTTAGCTTCTTCTATGCGTTTTTGCAGCGTTCTGGCAGCTGTTTGAACTTGTCCTGGTGTCTGTCTCCAACTTTCCCAAAGTTCTGGTGTGTGCCCCGACGAGGCACCACTCGGTTTCTTTCCAGGCTGCCTTTCTCGCAGCGGGTCTGGCTGCCGGCTCGCGGGCTGTTCTGGGGCTCCCAGCGAGGCAGGAGGCTCCGAGGGGCAGCGCTGAATAAACCAGCACCAGCTCCAGAGGCTTCAGCCAAGTCTCGCACCGTATCCAGATACTTTGCAGTTACGGCTTCTATCAAAGATACTGCATCCTCTCTCTGGGAAGGCTCCAATTGCTGTTTTCAATTCTTTTTCAAAGTTTTCCATTCATGTGCTAGGTTATGCTAGATTGTTTCTGAGCTTGTGCCACTGTTTAGGCATTTCTGTTTCTCCAAAAGCTTCTCTTGTTCTGTCCTATCTCAATTTGATATGAATATGAGTTGATGCTTTCTCTTTCAAAACTGGGGATACTTTTGATGTAACTCTTATTCCTTTTTGTTTCTACTCTGTGTCAGATAATGTTTTGGACTTGTGAATTGTTTCTCTTCTAAGAAAGTAGCAATTAACATCTCTTGTCAGCCTAGATTTATTTACAAATAACTGTGCAAACAAAGTCCTAAAGAATGTAAAGAATTGAAAAAAGAAAATTGCTTGTGTGTGATGTGCTTGGTCTCTCTCTCTCTTTCCCTCTCTCTCTCTCTCTCATTTTTTTTTCCCCTTCAGTTAGGACTTTGTCCGAGAAATGGTATCGTAGCTGTTCCTTACTGTTTCTTGACAGTGGCTTCCTGTGTTATCACCTATCTCCTGATTACTTTTAGGATATTAGCAGCCATCTCTGCTCACATATACAGAACTCCATCCAGTCAATGTCTWCCAGAGTCTATCCATAGAAAGAAAAGAAATATTCCCCAGCTTGCCATCTACCTGTCTGTGCTGTGAGATCCTCCCTTTCTCTTGCAGCCCACCCATCTTCTAGGCTGTCTACCTCTTGCTTGATAGGAAAGAGCCTGGACTGCAAACAGCTCCTCTTCACTGCACGTCCTTCCCCTCCTGGCACTATATGTGCATTACTCCTGTCTATGCACTTCAACCAGGATTACTTGCAAAAGAGATTTTTATATCCTGATTTCTTAATGTTGCCTCTAATAGGTTTTCAGTATCATCTTTCAAGTAGAAAGGAAGGAGCACACAAGACCTCTAGGGATCAAAGTCCTCTTCTTGAGCCCAAGTGCAGTCTGTGACAGTGCTAGCAAATAACCTGTTTCTGGTGGGGGCTCCCACCCAGCCTAGCCCAGTGCTCTTCTGGCTTTCCTGTTTTCTAGCCTGTGGTTTCAGTACTGCACTTCTGCTGGCTCTTCTCACTTTAGGTCTATTTCTTCTCCTGAGATTGCATGGACATGAAGGGTATACAGCACCTTTCCCTTTCCTGCAGCCTTCTTCACTGCTGAACACCATTGCTGTTTTTCTCATGTCTTGCCTTTCTTTTCCATGTACCTTGTAACTCCMGCTCTTTCAGGCTGCCCTGCCTGACTCTGCTTTCTGCTCCCTTATGTGGTGCCTCTCCAGGTGTGCTGCATTAATCAAAAATGAAGCACAGAGCACTCAGCATGGAAGGAGTGTCTTGCAGCCTGTGTACCTACCTCTGCTCWTCTCTGAATGGCTTCAGTTTTTAAAGGAAACAAAGGAAGAGACCCTTGCAATTCACATCCTCCTTCCAATGTTAGGCTATTAGCAGAGCTAAGCAGGTATTCAGTAATGAAGATAGGCTACATCCAAGCTAAGTTTTATGAGTGAATAGCTTGTTTTCTGCTAATGAGACAAGAAGAAGACACTTTTAAGTGAATTGGCCCTCTAAGATGGGCTATGTAGGGGCTGTTGTCTCATGATTATATAGGAGGTCTCTCTGATTTGCTTCAGCAGTCACAAATCTAAATTTCCTTGGCCTAAATTTTTCTGCTGGTGACATAGTGTCAGTATTAGTCAGATAAGTGGTTAGTGATTTGATACCCTACTGTGAAAAGCTCAGATACCTTATGCATTTTTTGAGGGTCAGTTGTTGAGGATCTATGGAAACAGAGCTGACACAGGAATTGCAGTGGTCCCATTTTTGCCATAATCACAGGTGCCAGGGATAGAGTCTTGTGGCTAGAGCTTGTATGCAGTCTGTTAGCCTGGAGCAAAGACAAGGTGCTACTCTGCTAAAATGCTTTCCAGAGCTGTGAAAACTACTGTGCTTTACTACGCTCTTGCTGCAGGCTAGTGGCTGCGACCCGCAGGCCATGATGCATCTRGATTGGGCAGGTTGAGAAGTGCAACCAGCTGGTTCCTCAGCTCTGCACTCTGTACCCTGAGGTTGAGCACAGGCTGCTGACTGCTGATATACCAGACTGGGAGCAAGATACTTGGCACGTGTTCCTCTCTGTTGTGTTAGCTAAGGACGTAATACTTTCCAAGAGCAAGGCAGGACAAGCAGCACAGTGGAATAACCTCTTAAATCACTGTAACTACCCCTCAGCTGCTAGTAAAAAGTGTGTCCAGTTATCAGAGCTCAGGAGAAGTGCCATAACTCTACTGCTGCCCGGTCCCTAATTTCCGTTTCTTAATCTGTGGCTGCTTTCCTTTCATTTTTTTGGGTTGTTAGAGAGGATAAAATACCTCAATCATAAAGGTGAGATAGGGCTGAGCAGTTGCTTGATTCATAACGCTGGAGGAGGTCATGGTGCTGACTCTGCTTGGTGGTTTTGTTGAGTGTTGTGTCAGGTCACTAGCTCTTTCCAAACGGAATGGTGCAAAGCTTCCTACCTGGCTCTGCTCTCTTGTGGATGGGAAATGCCATAAACCTGACATGTGTTTAGGACAGACCTGCCATTCAGAGGACCCAAATGAAAATATCCAGAAAGGGGTGCACACCTGAGTGAGGTCTGCCTGAGTGAGAGGTAACAGGGGAAAATGTGGATACCTGGTAAAGAAGACACATGCATTCTTCTAGATGGCCTCAGGCATGCTGGAACCAAAGGTATTAAATAGGCTGTAGTTAATTGTGGTAATTATTTTTGTGTGAGCTTATAAGAACCTTGATTTGTGGCTAAAACAAATTTGTTGTAGTTGGAGGTGACCTTTGTAAATGTAGTCGAACTTAAGTCAGCAAGGGGAGGCGGGAGACATAGGTAGGAGGGGGAGCTGGGTCTTGAATAATTTTTCCCCTGAGTATTTGCTGACTCAGTAACTGCTTCCCTCCAGAAATTAGCTTGTGAGGCCCTTTTTCAATTTGGTGAATTAGCAAGTGAGGGGGAAAAAAAGCTGCACTTCAGTCCTAGCATCTAGGTTTCTTGGTACAGTCCATCCAAACATAGATGCTCTTTGCCCCATAGTGGGACACCACTAGGCCTGTCCCTGTTCCACCTGCTGATTTGGTCTGCCTGGTTCCAGTGTGTCACACCAGAGGTCTTAAGCCATAACAAAGTGCTGCTCTCTGGCCGTACTGATTTTGCCACACAGAGTTCTCGCAGGGAGATGTAATTGGTGCTTTGCTTTCATTCTGCTCCTCCTGGCTTTCCCTCTGCAGAGTCTCTGAGCTGGTTTGGGAAGCCAGGCAAGCTGCTGTGCAGCTGCAGTGGAGTTACTTGTGTTTCTGGGTGTCTGGAGTGTAGAAGACAGTGGGAGCCAGCAGGTTACCCAAAGGCAGTCACTGTTGTGGTGGCAGTGCTGGGAGCTGAACCAGGTCATCTTGCACTAGAAGACGCATGGACTTCCAGAAAAGAAAGTTTCCTTCTACTTTAATGCCAGTGCATTAACTGATTAACATGAATCAGTTGATGCCAGCGCATCAACTTTCCTTTCCAGAGGAAGAATGAAGTCCTTGCAACCAGCCCTTCCTCTCACGTTTTTTTCCCCCACTAGGTTACAGGAAGGGTTAAATGCTCATAGAGGGAGTTGACTGAGTCTCTTTGGGTGGTCTGGGAAAGGAGAAGAGACTATTCAGTCTTTAATTTACCTGCTTTGGGGAGGTGACAGCAATTAAAGGAAAACAGGTGGGTGAAGACTACTGGAGACACTCTGTCTTTATGTGCATGCAAGCAAACTTGTGGCCCATTTGCTGCTGGAGAGCCTATATTTTGCAGTGGGATAGAGATTTAACAGAAACTCCCTCCCTAAAGTGAAGATTTAAGGTGTCTTTTATTATAATCCTAGACAGGCCAAACTAATGGCTGTGGTTTAAAGAAAAAATAACCACCGAGCATTTTCTCACACCTTGAAATTTCCAGGTGCAGAATCCCTCATCCTAGAGAATTTGAGAGCAGAACTTTATGATCACTGAAAATGATGCTTTTAAGATCTATGTTTGAAGTCCTTCTAGTGTTAAACTGGCTGCTTGGGATGTGACAAAGATGCTTGGTCTTCAAGCCTTCTTAGGATTTGTAGGATTAATTTGTCCTGGATGAAATTTCAACATCAGTGATATACCTAGACTTTGAGATTTATCAATGGACAGGATAAAGGATGGGCAAACTTCATATATGGAGCTTTTACTTCCTAAGGAA